AATACACAAAAATTTTTATTATTTTTAATTAATAATTTTCTTGTTTTTTTTTTTTGGAACGCATAAAAACGAGGCAAACAAACTGGTTTGTTTACATTCCGTTTATGTTGTTGACTTCGACGTTGTGGCCCAACGTGACATAAAAAGCAACAACAACAACAACAACAACAACAACAACAACAACAACAACACAACTACATAGAGCATCCGCGTGCAACGATCCATGTGGCAATCGAGTTAATTGAAGTGCCACCGATTTTACGCCTTCAACGTTGTTTTCTGTGGTTTGACTTTGGTGATTTTCTTCTTAATTTCAAAGTCAATATTTTTTTTTTTTAATTTTTTTTTCAACATTAAAAAACGAATTATTTATTTTTGTACTGTATATGCCACAAATTGGCTGTTGTTGTTTTAGTTGCATCACACAACCACAATACAATTATATATATATATACATATCTATATATTTCAATTAATGCCTTTTCTGCTTTTCTTTAGCATTTCTTTGAATTTTCTATTTCCAAATTTTTGGGCTAAACCATTTATTATTGTGTTTCAAGTGCTGTCGGTGGCTGTTGTTGTTATTGTTGCTTAAGTACATATTTATATGTAGCACTCCATAAGTGAGATGCATTCGACGACATGCATACATACGTACATACTTAATACATAATGGCATTGGCGGACAGTGCACTTATGCGTTGGCATTGAACAAACAGACCCTCCAATCACACAATGCATTAAACTCATCCACTGTGCGACAACAACAGCAGCAACTGCAACGACAATACTAACGGGATTGTAAGTGAAAAAGAGTCAAAAAAGTAGCAACGAGTCATCGAAAATGGCATCAGAGCAACTGGATTGACATTGTTTTGCACTAAATACGCAAGGAAAATGCATTTAATTGCATACCACATCACATATATATTTACATATGTGTGTACATATGTCGAAATAATATTGCAGAGTTTCAGGTATGCAACATTGAACCTGTTGCTTGTCTATTGACATTCGTTTAATGTTTCGCTCGTTGTTGTTGTTTCATTTCTTTGTAATATCTTTGCTTACTCTCATGTCAAGGACCTCCTTTTGCCTACGTATTCGCGATTTATACCAAAATGAGGCAATCAAAATTTCATTGTGCTGATTGTGAGAGCTTTTGTGTTGTTGTTGTCGTCGTTGTTGTTGTTGTTGTTGTGTTTGTTATTATTATTATTATTATTATTATTATTATTATTATTATTATTATTATTATTATTATTATTATTATTATTGTTGTTGTTGTTTTTGTTGTTGTTGTTATTGTTATTGTTATTGTTATTGTTATTGTTATTGTTGTTCCACAAAAATATTCGCCAAAGTAATTTTTGAGGATTTTTTTTGGGAGTGACAGTTCTTGGCCCAATAAAAATCCGGAGAATTCCGGTGTAAAGACCAGATCTTTTAAATTTTAGTCGCCTCTTACGACTTACCGCCAAAGAACTCTTGAACGTTACCCCTAACGCGCGGAGGATAAACATAAAAATTTAAAAATATTAATTACCAATTGGAAAGCTTATGAGATGGTGGCACACAGAATGCCTGGTTGAAGGACCTTCCTCAACGTGGAATAAATACAACCCGAAAGATTGGGGGAGATTTTAACATTTACGAAATTAAACTATCATTCGGTGCATGCTATATGCCGCCATGTGATGGATTCGAGTCTTACAGTAAAAATTTTTCTTCATGGTGTGGGCACTCCTCGACAGGAAAATTCAATGAATCTGTGGCATGAAATAAAGACCCATCCATCACCACCTTTTGTTAGAAAACGCTCGCTCGTGCCCGTCTTCAGCGCTTATAGATCTAATGCCCGCAAAATTTATGCGGATCTGTAAACTGAAACTATTTATTTTCGAAATGGTCCAACAAAAAAAAAATAACTGGTACCATGAGGACTGCCGTGTCGCAGTTGAAGGAAATCAGACTGTCTACCTTGCAACGTTGTGTTCCACCACTACAAGTGCGTCGTGAGATAGATACCGGGAACTGAAGAGGAATACCGAGAACTGCGATAGGTATAGGCAGACAAAAATAAATAAGGCTGACATGCGTAACTATGAAGAACTCCGAGAAGCTGGCCAACAAGGGTAATGCTCGAAAATTCTACGAAAAGATGCAGCGAGTTACAGAAGGCTTTAAGACCGGATCAAACTCTTACAGGACCAAAAGAGGTAATCTTTCGAATTTATGGAGGCAACACTTCTCCAGCCTGCTGAGATGGCGAATCCGATTCACCAATCGATGATGATGGCACAGATGTTTCATTGCCCGACTATGAAGAAGTTCCAATAACTATAGCTCTCTTGAAAAACTACAAAATGGCGAATGCCGATGTATTACAAGCTGAGCTATTCAAATACGGCGGCGAAGAACTGATAAGGTGCATTGGTCTGGTAGTATACCAGGATAATGAAACAAACAATTATCGCATTCGCGACTCGGCTCACAAGTTGCTCTTGACAGTCATAACAATAACACTAATCACAATTTCAGCCTTGGATTGAGTACGAAATTGAAGAGTAAAGCCCTTTCTCGCCGGCGCTGAACGCTGTTTTTAATTCGGCAATAATCGCGTAAACGGTGTCTACGCCGATAAAGAACAGGCTCAGTCGCTGTTCGCTAAGGGGAGGTTTAACAAACTCGTGCCAAAAAGATAGAGGCGTAAAACAAATACTTGGAAGAGCTTAAGATAATTTGGAAAGTTGTACCGCCTAAAGCTGGTCCTACACCGATTACGTTCGTTGCTTCTCAGCAGATACCTCCGCACAAAGAGTGACCCTATGATTTACATTAACTTTGCGATAAAGATGACATGGAGAGGGTTAGCCTCCGTTCTGCGAGGGAATATGAAATATCTGAGATACAGAGTGAACGCCTTTTAGGTTAATGAACGTCTAATTCAGACAACTACCATATAAGGTCAATGAAACTTCATTTCGTGGTTGAAGAAGCTTTAAAATGCAAAAAGCGGCGAGTGGGAACCAACTTACGGGGTTTCGTCCTTCCGTCTGTATAGATCATAACCATTACTAAGGATATCCGGAGAGGAAAAAGTTCCGTGTGGGCGTAGCATCACCCACTCTTGTATCAAAATAGTATAGATGGGCAGATGTAAATTGATCTACAAGGAACACGAGTTGACGAGTTGAACATGGAAGCAACGGGCAAAAACTACGGCTTTCTTCCATATAACGGTCTATTTACTTTTGGACAACAGAACTCGATAAGTATGCCTTTTTTAATGATAAGTAAGGGTGGGAAACTAGCAACGCCCCCAACTAAAGAGCCATAGACATCTTCACAGATGACTCGAAGCTTGATGGGCAAATGGGATGCGGAATTTATTCTACCATGTTTTCATTAAATATGAGCATGAGACTACCAGATCACTGTAGCGTTCTCCAGGCCAAACTATTTGCAATCATGGAGGGTGCAAATTGCATAAATCTATGGCAGCAGGACAATCGGTTACAATCGAATTTCTCAATTGTAAATCCAAAGCGGCCACAAACTTTCTCAACAAACTCTCTACTAAATATATCACTGCCGTTGTCTGGATACCTAGACACAGGGTCATCCCAGGCAACTGCATGGTGGACGAACGAGCAAGTGAAGGAACCCTTCTACCCAGGATAAAGCATACACACGATGCAGGTTTAACTCTGGCCATGGCAAAGCGCATGCTTAAACTGGCTTTCACCAGAGAAGCAGACTGAAGATGGCTGAATGAGATCACGTGTAACGTGACCAAACAGCTGTGACCGAAGCTGGAGTCTTCACGGGAAGAGAATGAGATATCATTCTAATGATTTTTGCCGCAACTGCAGGGATGAAAAAGGGAGGAGACCATTGAGCACTACCTCTGCCACTATCCAGCCTTGACATCAGCGCGATACAAATTTCTTGGGAAACATTCTTTCGATTGGAAATCTCGTTGCTTTTATAAGGCACACGAAATAGTTCGATCATCTGAGAAGGTGAAAACAGGAGCCTCAGCGGTATCACAATAGGCCTATTGACCTAAGTGTGCTGGCAACAGCAGCCGCATCAACTCAACTCAACGCAATGGTAAGTCCCACCGAAACGCAGTTCAAAACAGACTTACCTCCCATTTACCCAACAGATCTTCTATTTCTGATCGATTTGTGGGCTTTAAATAAACTTTAGCTGAATATCTGCTCTACGCGAACATTGCATTTCTTACTTGTTTTTAGTTTCTTTCTTCAACTCTCGTGGTAATGACGATTCGTCAATTCAGGAGTATAAACGAGTTTGGAAACTATGTCTAAAGGCTTTCGAGAAATCGACTGATACTGAGGCCATTCGGACTGAGTGATACCATAAGTTGCGACTACGTAATATCGGGCTGTTTATAGCTTCAAGTGAGTGAAAATAGAAAATCACATTTATCGCTTCTATAAGCTGTGATGATTTCAGATCAATTCTTTAGTACTCTCAAAGCCATTGAAGCCACAAGAGGATTTGATCTTCCGCATAGTAACACACTATACTACAGCGGCCACTGTCATGGGGAGAGGAGAAGAATCAAAATTATCAGACACAAATCCGCCATACATATTTACATAAGACACCGGAAGTGCGACATTTTCTGCAAATGCTTAACCAGATTGATTGATTTTTGTTATTGCCTTTCTGACATTAAATAAGAGCTTCACATAAAAGACCATCAACGGTTCGAAGGCGGCTTGGGATAAACGGTAAGTCCCACCATTTGATGAAAATCCATGAAGACGCACACCACACACATTTTAATAAGAGGTGGTTATTTAGCATTTTGAAAATTGGTATGACCGCCATGTTTAAAAAAAAAGTTCTTAAAAATCATATATACATATGTAATTGCACTAAAAAAACATTTTTGTACGCAATTATCGGTAGGAACTTCGCAGAAATGCATTTAACACTAAAAAATTGTACAAAATGTCACTTACCCGATTGACTACCGCCAGCTATCTGACGCATTTCCTTCGTAAACTCCTTATTACCGAATTGACAGGACAAGTCGTGTACGGTGCGCGCCTCGCCCTTGTCCATGAGACGCTCAAGGAAGAAGAGCAGCGTCATATTGCGCGCATTTTCATAACCCTGCGAATCCATGTTGACAGCTTGTTCGTTGTATAACGGTTGAATGGAGCAAAAGCTTTTTTTGTATAAGTATTATTAAAAATAATTTTAATTTTTTATTAACAATATTTTTTTTATTTTTCTTGATGGCTTTTTTTTAATAAATACTTTTTTTATAAATAACGCTGTTTACGGCAAAGCGTAGGAAGCACACGTTTTAAGGATTTTCTATTTTTTTTTTAGATTTTTTTCTTCGAATTTTTTATTATAGCTTTTTTTCAATTATTACTATTATTTTGTAAACAACCGTTGAATTCGTTTGAAAGGCAGTTTCAGAAACACTGTTTATCACAGAATTCACGTCTTTTCGCCAAACGGTATTTTATCTTTTAATTTTGGTGCTTATCGTGTTTTTTTACTATTTTTTGTGTTCTTTCTTTTTGTGTTTTTGTTGTTGTTTTTTTATTTTATATTTTTTTTGTGAATGCGAGAGAACACTATGAATGATTTGTGTATGAATTGTAGATAATAATGCGTTTGTTGTTGTTTTTCAGCTTTGATATTTTGATATTCATAAATTTATTTTTTATTTTTATTATTTAAACGCCGCTACTGCTATTCGCTGCTGTTATCTGTAAGAAAAAGCAGAAAGTGTGCTTAATAACTTTGTAGAAAAGGTGCAATAATAACTGTATCCACATATTATTTATGGTGTGAAGTTGTATGGAAAGGTAACGGTAAAATTATGCAATCAGTAAATTATGAAAGAATTTTTTATTCGCACATTTTATGCATAATTTTATTATATAAATTTATTAACAATTTTTCCTTATAAAAAAAAAAAACAACCAATAAATTCACTTCTCAACACACACCTGCCAACCAACGTATAGCTACGCAAATATGTATGTATATACAATAGCACAATAACATCCGCTCGTCGAGAGTCAAATCAACGCACTGGAAACGGAAATTGTCTGACAGGTGCTTTTGCAGATCAAACGACCGCGCTGTTTGCCAACTACCGCTGAACTGACTATTGGAGGAGAGCAAAACACACAAAAACTACAACATACGAGAAATATCAATGATAAAGGCAAAAGCAAGGAGTCCAAGCAGCAGGCTCTATGAATACCGGCGAATTGTTTTCCGAGTTTGCGCAAAAATGCAGCAAATCAGCTGTTCGTCTCCCCTCCCCCAAAGTACTAGTCATATGTATTGTGTTTGTAGTTCGTGTAAATATTTGGTTATGTTATACTATTTGCAATTTGTTTGTTTTGACGTGTTGGCGACCGCAGCAGCATGCAGCTCTGTCTCTGGCACTGCCTACGTCGCTGTCGTGTACGTCAAATGTCTTCCCTTTCGCGTTGCCGCTGCTGTGACTGCATTTTCTTATTACTTTTATTTTTTTTTTTTGTTTTTTTTTTTCAAGCTCTTTTTCATTTGGTGAACAAAGCAAGTTTTAAAGCATACAGAGCAAAGAAATGCGGTTAAAAGCAAAAATATGTATTTGAAAATATTTGCAACTTTTACCATTTGCCTTTCTACGTTAATTTACATTGCTTAATTTATTCACCTACAGGCATACGCACAGACATACACACAAGCATACATATGTAAAGCGGCGGGGAAATGATTCATGAAATGTTAAAAAATGAAATGTTTGAAGAATATCAAAACTTTGCGAGGCGCTAAGCACTCAGCGTACCAGTCCACAGGTGAGTGACATGAAAATTAGCGTAAATGGCTTAACAACAAAACAACATTGCTCAAGAATTTATGCATACTAGTGTAATAACGGTTAGCCAAAGAAGTTAGGCGCATGCTAATTAAACTTCCATTAGATGGTTCAGCGTGGAGGTGGGAAAGATCACATGTTGACTTTGCTTATTTTCAAATATTCATGCTACATATGTATGTATGTGCATACACAGAAGGATATGTACATAGTTCACCGGCATAACTGAGTAGTAGGGAATGACATGGATTAACTCTCTTGTACGAAATTATTACGTATTACCTAATGATCTAAACGGTGTTAAGTCGCCAAAAGAGTGTCAACTCTTGGTCTAACTCTTGAGAGTCCCTTCCTGGCGTGCCTGAGTGGTGGTTCGGCTTCAATTGAATGTTTGTTGCTACTTTTTGTACAGTAACATCCCAGCAGAAATGCTTATACAATAAAACATTATCCTCTTTAACTTGAGGTTGAGATGGGTATAAGTGATGCGTCGGTAACATCATAGGGTTCCTCATCACTGTCTTAAGGGTTTTCTGATATGCTTGTAACTTCTTTATCCATAAGAAATTTTCAACCGGTCGCGCCTGTAAGCTAGAACTGGGAAGTTAGGGCGGATTTCCGAAATAAAGCGAGCAACAGCGTACTGGATATTACAATTAGGCATTTAACGTCATCAACCGATGGTGTTTCAACACCTTCAAGAGCTCTTTTCCTGTTAATAGCGTTCTTGGAATCCATACACCACCTGTTGCAGACCAAGGGCACGAGTTGCTTCAAGGAATTCGAGCTTTTCTGGTACAATTAAGGTCTGGATATTGCAGTCGGCTAAATTCATACCAATTAAGAAGTGTAACCTAGATTTTGGACCCTGTTAAATATCCGTCCAACTTGGCAAAATGGGATGAGTGAGTGGATATCTCATTTAGTGGCCGCATCTTGCAGGACCCGCAAGAGTTCCCGAAAGACTTTAGCCGACCTTTTACACAGCCCCCTTTGGTAGAAAGAATCAGTGGGCATAAGGGCAAAGATTTCTATTCCATTAGTCTTGATAGACCCTGAGTTGGGAGACTTTTTCACAAAGGAATTCAAGCTATCTATGAGCACTTTAAAAATATCCGAAATATGACTACTGAACCCTCATTTTCTTCAAGGTTAAAGATGTAAGTCTTGCAGCGCGAGCTGTCTCAGAACCAGACGGTATTTATATGCCAATAACTGCTTGGCGTTACCGTCTGTGTTCGCAGTTCCTTGAATACAACGTGTCACCAAAAGGACCTAAACGTCAGACTCACGACCTTCAGAAACTCTTATCCAGTGAAACCTATTGTAGACCAAGAGCTCGAAAAGGCTCATATGACACAAGTAATGCTGGCACAGTTGAGGTCAGTTTGCTGTAGTAAACTAAACTACTACTTAACCAGACTCCACCTCCCTTATACTGAGCATATGTCCTGCTCACAATAAGGCATCGCACGACAGTAACCACCTATTTACATGGCTACTGAAACCAACTCATTTAACACTCCTCTCGCTCTGATTCCAACTCATCGGAACAACTGATCCTGCACTCCATGAAATAGATTAACTTTGCCTACTTCTAGGCGTGGTTAAGCTGCAACGACAACCTCGATTTTCATTTACAAAATACCAGCATGAGCATGTACCACATAAAAAAGTAAATATTCGTTAACCTCTTGATACATTAGCATCCATATTAAGTAAACTCCGATTGAATGTAAAACACTCAAGTCTTTGCCAAATGTAGATCGAAGAAATCTAAACGATAAATGGAATTGGAAATTTTACAATAAGCAATGGCAAAGAAAAAGAAGAGTAGAAACAAATTGACAATAATTAAAAACAACAAAACCAGTATCTTGGAGAGTTCAGAGCTACGTTTAAAGACAATGAATATCATGAATAAAGATTGAAGAGTAGACTCATCGCACACACATTTATGCAATTCTGAGCAGTGCCAATGAAATCTCGGCACAGTTTAACTGTTTTAAATCGAATTCAGAAACGAAACATACATATCTATATACATGCAAATAGTATATAAGATAATATCATAAGCTTTTTTTATTATTTTCCTAAGAACACCTAAAGAAACCTCAAAACCGTGAACAATAAAACAAAAGAGAATGACAAACGAAGAAACGTTGAATGAAAAAGCGAAAATGGCATGCGATAGGAAGAATGACTGTGTGTATCCGCAGCAGCAGATGTCAACCACACAAACGACGCATACGCAACCAGCGACGTTGATGCTTACGTTGACGTCACTGCGTTAAAACAAACAATTGGATGGCAATGTGATATATACGAGTATACAAATATACATAGATATACTTATATGTATGTATATCTATGTATGTATTTGTGCAGATATTTGTTTGACTTTTTATATGCATATTAATTGGTGTCTCCTGACTGCAAAACTCGGACGCGACAGGTAAAAAGAAATACATACATATACGAGTACATATTTTTTCGAAACACCGAAAGTGGGGTACTGGGGAAACAAAAATACAATTTAAATATGCATAATTGAATCGAAGAAATGCTATGCTGAGAATTATGAAGGAGAAAAGACGTGGTTAGAAGTTGAAAAAGACATTTTCACTATTAAATTAGGTTACATTTTAAAGTAAATAATTCATTTAAGTAGCTTCATGCACACACGCAGCGAGTATGTATTTATATATTTACATATGACGGTTGTGAGCCACTAAAGTATTTACTTACATGTTGTTTATTTTGTTTTACTGAATTATTCATTAGAAATTTAAAAATACTTATTCACATTTCAATAAGGCACTTGTTGCGAGTATAATTTTTAAATTTTATTTTATTTTATTTTGTATTTTTTCTACAAAAAAACTACACACGGCACAAAAGAGCACCTTCAACACGATATCGATCCTCGTGTGGGGATTATTTGCAATTCTTTTGCAAAATTAACGAAAAATTCGCTTTTCTCCGTTGCTTTTTACTCAACTGTTTCACTGCACACAGTATCTTTAAGAAAAAATTTAACTACGATCTACTACGTTGAAATTTGCGTGGCTTATGAGAGCGAAAGGAAACGATTACGACGACAGGTATGTAGGTAATTAGATTTTTTTCTTTATACTGATTAATTTTACCAGCCGTCCCCAACGATGGGCAATCGTATTTTTACACTGCCCCACACGATTTTTCGAAATCTTTGTTAACTATTTCAATTGTTGAAGGGTGTAGCAAGTGAAATAACTAAACAGATTTTTTTATATTTTTCTAAATAATTAGCACACAATAACAACCGAATTTACAAAAAACGATGATGACAAGGCAGCGACGGCGCAACAACTGACGACGACAGCAACGACTCAGCTGGCGCACGGTCATCAGAAATGTTCGTACGGAAACTTCGAAGCGCAGGGTTGCATTTACCGCCGGTAATACAACAGGTGAAATTGCTTGCAATGGAATGTACTGACATCAGTAATTCCAATAAGAATTATTAATCAAAAAAAAGAGTCAATGGGGAAACTCAGATCGTTATTAGGAAGCGGAAATGTCACGAGTAGATAACTGAAATATGTGCGAAAAAAAAGTTTGAAAAATAGTACAATAAGTTATTAATAGAAAAATATTAATCTTAAAGGTTTAAGTTGTATTTTACTTATGGAATTAGAGCTTTTACACCTAATAGCGCAAAAGATCATATCAAGAACCTAAAAACACAATAGTTTGCCAATAGTTTTGAATATTTGTACACAGTACATATATGTTTGTATTTTCCACATACAAAATATTATATATGATTTTAACAGCATACACCTCTAGTGTTTTACTCCACAAGAAAATGATTCAGTTTAACTAAAATCCCCAACACTATTTCAAAACCTTAAGGCGCCCTTGGCCGATACAGTCAATAGATAAAAAGATCCATTCGGATTAAAATACTTAAATTTAAAATCAAAAATGGTTTTATTTAATATGTGTGTATAAATTATATCATAAGCAAAATCAATTATTTAACTTAGTCCATTTCTCACTAACAGCCCAGAGCCATTTGGCTAGAGCATCATCTGTGCCAGCGGGCGCAACATCCTTCAAATTACAATCGCTAAAGTATTTGCCGGATACATTAGCCAATTCTGGTTCTAAGGCAGCATACAATGTGGTTTGAGCACCATTTTGTGGTGCCTTAATGAAAGGCCAAAACAATGGTTTGAATATCATACTATAAAAAAATAAAGCATTATTATATAGAATATATGTATATGTGTATATATTAATGGTAACGAAATCGAAATACATACTTTGCAAAGAAACTATTAAAGAAGCCCATATGTCTGAATAATTCCGTATCTACTACGCCCGGATGTAGCGCGTTCGCTGTAACGCCAGTACCTTCCAAACGTCTCGCTAACTCACGTGTAAACAATATATTTGCCAATTTACTCTGATTATAAGCCGTGCCTGGGTCGTATGATTTATCACTATTCAAATCGGCTACATTGATTTCACCACGCGTATGCGCCAGACTTGAAACGGTAACAACACGGCTCGGTGCTGATTTCTAAATTAATTAATAGTAATAATGAATACAGAAATTTGAGATATCCACTATTAATTTACTTTTAACAAATCCAGCAACAAATTAGTGAGCAGAAAGTGTCCCATGTGATTAACACCTAACTGCATTTCAAACCCATCCTTCGTTAGGGAGCGTGGACAACGCATTACGCCAGCGTTGTTGATAAGAATATCCAGACGTTGCTGTTCTTTTTTAAAACTGTATAAGATTTCCGCTCAATAAATCGTTTAAATTTTAACACATTTAATAATTTAGCTTACTTATCTGCAAATTTACGTATTGATTCCAATGACGCCAAATCACATTGCCGGCAGTATACATGTTTGTTGAAGGTTTCTAAAACGATTTCCTCGCGAGCCTAACATGGATACTTTTGTTAACAAACTTACATATATTAAACGAAACACACGACTCTACTCACCTCTTCACATTTCTGCATATCGCGACAAGCCATGTAAACAGTAGCTCCACGTCGCGCCAGTTCAAGCACGGTCTCCTTGCCAATACCTGTATTAGCGCCAGTAACAATTACTACTTTGTTTTCAGCTTTAATAGAGTTGTTGAACTTTTCTCCTTGCATTAAATCTCTAGTGGCATAATTGAATTATTTACATATATGTACAAATGTATCCGATATTTCTGTAACTTCCTCACACTTACTTAATGAAGAACGCAACACCTACTGTGGTGCCTGTTACACTTGCCCAAAACACTGGGCGACTTTTTAAAAAATTAAACATATCTAAAACAATATCTAAGTACTAGTTTTTATTTTAAAAAATATATTGTTACATGAATGGAAAAAACAAGATAATTAAGTCAGCTGTTGCAAAAGCAATCCGCGGCCGGCCTATCAGCTGATATATATGTATGGATGTACATCAGCAAAGAAGTCAAAATACACTGAGAGAAATGAACGGGTGAAGAATATTTACAAGAAGACGAATGTGAAAGGAAGGCTAAGCTCGTTCAGATCGTTAGATTTCAGTGTATTCGGAAAATGTTCAAAGAAGCGAGTATGTAAAAGTTTTTGTTTTTGTGGTAGGTACACCTTGTGCCACGCTGATGTTAAAAAAATGTTGGATGAAAATGATGATTGATCTCCAATGGACCTAATGATGAAATAACTTTAGTATATTGTGTGTATTTTTTTATTACAAAGATCTATAACCTCGAATTAAGTATCTCAACCCGAAACTCCGTTTTTGCCGATCCGCCTCAAAATGCTTTCAGCAGATATTTCGAACTAGCATTGCATTGCTTCTTTTTGAAAATCTTCACACCCCCTTAATGAAAATTTTACGAGGTGCAACAATTAAGTAATGATACTGATTCCATAAAAACCGTATATTTCAAAATTATTCTACAACTCTGCAATCCTCCTCAAAGTAGTCCCCCTGGGCAGCTAAACAACGATTCCAGCGAGTTTTCCATGCTTCGTAACATTTTTGAAACACTTCGATTGGGATGTCCGCGAATACCCTCGTTATGGCCGCCTGGATGTCCTCAACCGACTGATGGCGGTGTGGCGCGTTGTCGTAGGATCCAGTTGTGAGCGATGTCTGGACGCATCCTGTTGATTCGTTTTCGCAATCTTTCAAGTACTTGGCGATAGTAGACTTGATTTACGCTTTGTCCCGTTGGAATTCGCTGTGGCTATCAAAAAAGGCAATAATTTCCATTATCGTGGCGAACACCACGAGCACACGTTTACTTAACACGACACAGCAGGCGAACTACAATAGTTAGAGCGATGGTAAATATATCAATGGAGAGGAGAAGAATGACGAGAGAAGGAAAAGTTAATTTTAATGTCGCAGGGTTACCACAATTGCGGCAATATATTCATTCAGTCTCATTACTTAATTGTCATACCTCGTAAATTACTCACATTTAAGTCTACCTACAATTCTATTCCTTTAGGCGAATAACAAGAACTCACATTTTAATAAAGAGTAGAATTTTGTCGTTTATTGAATCATTCATCACTTGTTGTCTCGTCCAACATTGAATTTGTAAAGGCATTTCGATGAAGGAGGCGCTCAAAATTCATCTTTCAATACATTTACATATATTTATTAATATTTTCCATTTGATAAGCGAAAAAACTAGAATAAAAAACATGTATATACATACATATATAAACACAAACTAATATTATTCGTGCATGAGCATATGCATTTGTTTGTTTGTATGTATGTGAGTTACATGTACGATCTATTGGATTGTTTCGATTTATTTATTTATTATTATTTTTTTACTTAATTATTAATTTAGCAAAAATACACTTAACAATATTATTGTATGTTTAAAGTGGAATATAATAATTAGATCAATTAGTTTGATTTTTTGTATGAAATAAAAATTTAATAAAAAATGCTGCTACCGCACGCAATTCACCTTGAGCATGGCTTAGAGAGACGCCTACAAATTTTCAAATATAACTGTGTGTATTTTTCTTCTCGAATATTACCATTTTCCTGATGGCAAAAGTTTTAACTCTGTCTCGTGCGGTGCACGGACTAAACTCTAAAAAAAAGCAAAATATTTAGTTCAAATCTTGGTGCAAAATATGAAATTTGATAAAAAAAAAAATAATAAAACAAAATTCAAACTAAACAGAAATCTGATAATTTGTTGAAGAAAAATTTTCTACTCGTATCAACGTACATTTAACTATAAAATATAATTGAGATACGAAAATATATATATGTATATTGCTTAATTAATAGTAGTAGAGAAACTTCCTTCCAGCTACTTTTTAGAACGCAGCCGCGTTTTTTTTTTATTTCATTAAAACAATAATTTTCACCTTTTGAAAATTTATAAGAAAATGGAATTTCCATCGTTTTTCTTCTTTTTTTTATAATAAACTGCAAAATTAAATTTCGTTATATATGTACGTAATTGGTTTTGCTTATAGATTAAGCATTTAGTTCTGTATTGTAGTCATACATAATACACGTAAATAGGTATGTTAGTTTCAAAGTGGTGAAAGTTCGAATGTTTAAGCAATGCAAATTTTCTTAACTAACGAATTTGCAAGAAAAATTGTTACGTACATACATACATAAGTGTGTAAAAAAAAAAAATAATATGCATTCACTCAAGGATGCGTAAGGATTACTTTAGCTCAGTTGTTTATGTTTCATAGCAAATGTTTGCGTGTGTGTATATATAAAGGTGTATGGAAAATACATATTAAAATTGTAAAATTATTTTACCGCAATTACAATTACAACATTTGATTAAATTGCGTAAACTACAAAAAGTATTTTTCTCTTTCCAATTCAAAAACTAATAAAAATAGGGAAATGTCGAAAATTTTCTTTTTAATTATTGTAGTAGTAGTTGTTGTTGTTTTTTTTTTAAATTTATTTTGTAGCCGAATCTGTTGGCGAATTCAGGCCGGATGATGTATTGTTTTCATTTAAGGCATCAGGGAAGCTGTTAATCGAACCCGAACGTGAAGTGGACACTCGTGTCTACAGTAACGTACGAACAACACAAATAAACAAGTACACGTACGTACGTAAAATTTTTCGATTGAACGTGGACGTGAACAACATGAAACGAAAAGAGAGCAATTGGTTAGACAATATAATCGAACAATTTATAATAAATTACTTATGTAAACATGCAAGACGAATCAATTATTAAGTAAATATACATATATGTATAGTATAATATAGTTATTTGAAGTTATTTGTGTATTTGTACAGAGCAATAATTAAGTTCGCCAACGTTGATATATTTTTTTAATATATTTATATAAATAATATGCGAGGTACCATCGGTGATTGTGTTGAAAAAATTAAGAAATTAGGATTTTTTTTATGTTTTAAGAAAATATATGCTAAGGCTTGCGAATTCTATGGCGGTTTAGTAACATAGACTCCAAAGGAACTGCACTAGCGAGATTACAACATGTATATGTATATATGTCTGTGAACTTAATTATTGCACTCTGTTTGTAAGAATTTGTATTTACTTAATACATGATACTAAAAATTATACATTTAATTAAATTTAAACGAATTTCTTTTCAATTTTACTTCTAGATTTCCGCACTTTCGACTTAAAAAATAATAATAAATGAAAAGAATAACTACCACAAAATATACTAAATAGCAACTTGGAAAACTTAGTGTTTTGTGTTCCTACTTTTTTGTACATTAGAGTTGTGATTTGAGTAGCAGGCGTGTAAAATAGGAGTTAATGTTAATTGGAAAGTTAAAGAATTAACAATTTTTTTATGTTTTATTTTAATTTAAAAAGTTGATTGATAGGAATAAAAAGTAGTTTATAGTTACCGCATGGGGTTGGCACAAAAAATTGTTGTGTTCATAGCTTACTTTAACATTCTCATAGGCCGAGCCAACCTTCTCTTCGATCGAACGCATCGATTCGGAATTTTTCATTTGTGAGAATTTCGAGGTTATGCCGCTGGTTATGCTACCAAATACCGATGCAGTCTTTTCCGATGTTGACTTAAACACCGATTCGGTTCGTTGGAAACTGTAAAAAGAAATTAAAAGAAAAACTTATTAAATATTAACTGTGATAAATCATTTAAATGTACAGGCGTGAAAACGTATTTTGAACGTTAAAAAATAATGTGTTATCTAATATTAAGACATTTAGTAACGTTCACAAGTTCAAGAAATTACATATATTTTTTCAGCTGAATTTAAAAAAAATAAGCCTTTTTCTGTTAAATATGTAAATAAGTGTATGAATATAAGAAGTTAAGAATTCGGCATTAGTAGTCGATGACGAAATTTATTTGCATTACAGTCAGAAATAAGAGAAGTGTTAATTATAGTGAAGTTATTTATACATTTTTCTCCCTTTTGCAAAGATTTGGTTAACACAGATAATGCAGATTAATAGAGTGAAATATTTATTTTCAATACGCTTATGTTGTGATTGCGTATTAATAATCAATTAGTATTAGTATGTTTTAGTGCGTATCAGAAGTAGTATCAACAGTTTAGTACATTAAGTCCACACAACAATATAGTATTTTGTTAACTGGGTATATTTACTTACATTGGGGCATCATGTACGGCCTTCGTTAGATTACCCACACCCTGTTCAACGCTTTGAAAACTTAAAATTTAACAAAAAGCAAAAAAAATATAATAATAAAAATGATAATGTAATTTAAAAACTAAATATATATATATAAATATAAAAAATGATATTTTCGTTTGTACATACAAATTTTATGTTTAAAAAAAGTTGATTTTGTTATTGAAAATATAGAAAAATCAGCTTACAAATGCTATTTGAAAAGTCACAGCTTATTTTTTCTAGAACTATTTAAACATTAAAAAGTTTTATTATCAAAATCACTAGAAACGGAACAAAAATTCGATATCTATCGTAAATCAAGCTTTTGGAGGTTCGTGAAAAATAAAATATTTGCCTATATCATACATTTTTCTTTGAGTTCTGTGTAAAATGACTGTAGAGAAAAAAGTGGTCCCATTCATAAATACACTAACTCTACTAGCCTTCTTGTGAATAACTCGATGCAAAGAAAGTATAAATTTTAACACCTGCTAAAGCGTAGGTAAACTTCTAAAACGTGAGCCGAAATTATGTGCCAAATTGGATATGATTCTTTGTCATTTCTTTTTTCATTCTCATTTGTCATTTTTTTTTCTTACACAACTTAAGCAATAATATTTTCTATATGTACAGTCTTTAAATATCTTCTTTTTTTTACAAACTTTTTACAAACTGAAAACTTACACTGAACTCTCTTTAACATTCTTAAAGCCTTGATTCACATCATCTGTAATCTCCTTCCACATGGTAATGCCCAATTTGCGCTTCAAATCTGAAGCATGTCGTGTTTTTGATGCCAATACTGTACGCAAAGTATTTATTTCCTCTTCGACGCGAGAAAGCTCCTAAAAGATGAAAAATTCGAGAGTTAAACATATTTGAATTTTGCAGAGAAAATGTAAAATATTAAAAACAGAAAATTGAACATACTTGACTCCATTCGGCGCGTTGTCTCTCTTGTTCCTCAACGGTGAGCGCGGCAAACTCGGCAGCGATATCTGCAGAGGCGACAGATGCAACTGGAGATGCTGGCTCCGACACCTTTGAAGTAGTATCTATAGTGTAGATTTTTTTTTTTTGTGAAATAAATATTAGAAGAAAATTAATAAAATGATTAAATAAAGCAAGTAAAAGTACTTATGTTTTTATGCCAACATATAGATATGTAAATTTGTTTAAATGTTTTTTTTTCGCACAACACTTTACGCAAAAGGTGAACTGCGCAATTAGGAGTACTAAAAATATAGTGACTAGCCAAATGTTTATTAAGTGAAGCAAATTTACTTTAAATAAACTCAAATTAAGCAAACTCATTTGGACAATCATGCAGCGTGACTAAAAAAAAACATATGCTTTTTAGGTTTGCGATTCTTTTTTCACAAATATGTAAGTACCTCCTTGAAAGACAACCTCCTGGAATACTCTATCATAAGCTGAGATTCAAATTAATTTAGCAAAAAAAAAACACATCAATAAAAAAAAACTAAATAGTTTATTGTTTTGCAATACTTTATACTTTTTAAAAATTCATTACAAATTCATACTTACAAACTTTGAATTTGCACAAAGTAGAGTGTGGCACAAAATGTAGGCAGCAAGAGAAATAGAGAGAGAGAGAGAAATTAATGCGATAAAAATGCAAAAACAATGAGGCTGCAAGAGTATAACTATAAGTGAGAGCCAAACTGTTTTTCAAAACTATGATCTTATGAGTGAACACAGTTTGGTTTTCAGTTAAAGATATGTATGTTTGTAAATTTTAAATGTTCAAAAACATTTTTTTTATAAAATTTAAATTTTTTCGCTGACAGTGAATTTTCGTTGCTAAAGAAGAACAAACACAAATTTACCATTCACTACCCTGCGGGTTAGGGGTTCAAGAATTTACCCGCGGTAAGGCATGCCTGTCGGAAGAGGCGACTAAAATCCAGTAGTTCCCGCAACAGTCGAGTCTTTATACGGGAACGACCCGGATTTTTATCCGGCCAAGGACTGTCACTCCAGCAACATAACCCAAAAAGTACTTTGGGGAATAATTTTGCGGTTACAACAACAACAACACTATTCAGCTCAAATTTCCAAAATTCAAAGACGCAAAAGATCTTATTCACACCTACATATAATACACACGCAAGACTCCATACATACTTCATTCACTATTTTTCGTACAAAACTTTAATATTAGTATTGTAAAGGTTGAAAGAAAAAATATAATAATTTACACAAAAAGACAAAGAAACAAACATCGCGGTATAATTTAGCTGGCATACACAAACGTTAATGAATAAATTCTTAAACCATCGAATTAAGTGAATGTTGTTGGCATTACGAAAGATATATAGCAAAAGAGAAATAAACAACCAACCATTAAATTGCTTTCTCTGTGCGCATGAGCTGGTTACTTTTACTCTTGCGCATGCGCCTTTTTTATATGTTAAAAAACGTACTTCTTTTCATTCTTTTTTTTTGGTGAATTCAGGACTGAAATCGCTCAGCTATCATGGGGGACATTGAATTCTACTAATTTAGCTCATTAAGCTGAAAAAAAAAAATAAAAAAAAATACTTTCGAAGTATTTTGGCGCTTTGGTTATTTTATTATTTTCTTTTTTTAAAGCCTCACTATGATATTTTCATTTTAAACAGTTTGGAGCAATAACGAAACATTTCGCCAGTTTCACCTTTGACGTATTAAACTTAATAGGCTCAGAGAAAATAATCCTTTTTCGATTTTCTATGTTTCACTTATGGTTATTTATATGTAAATATAATATTTTTATAAATCGTTTGTCATTAAAATCTATAAATATTGAAAAGAAAAACCATTTTTAAAATTTTAGTCTGCAGAAAATAAATTGAATTAATTAATGCTCTAAGCGTTGCCCTCTACGTAACATGTCAATGCATACCTTTGGTGTTGTTATTAATTTTGGTTTGTGTTGGCATTGCTGATGACGATGAAGAGCCAATATTTAAGAATTTCTTATAATTCTCGCTACTCGAAATCTTCGCTAGATACGGCTTAGAGAAATCAATAAACGTTACTTTAACTTCACGCATTGTACGTTTTGTAAAGAAACGTAAGCGGAAACGTTTCGCTATCGATGATGAAGGCACTTGATTTGCCAATTTGGTTGCTATAAATTCTGTTTCAACAGCCTGAAGTTCGAGCGTATTTGTATAATCTGAATCTACATCGTAGAAAATTTGATCTAATGTTAAATTTCTTAAATACTGTTCAGTCTCATTGGTCCAATCGGCCAAGTCGGATAATTGTTCATCCAATTCGTTAGGTTCATCTAATGATGGTGTAATGATATTATCCAATTTCGGTATATATGGATCTTCAATGAATTCCAGACTGACTGGTTCAGAGTCTGTCATGTTGTTGTTGGCAATAATGTCAAAAGTGGCAAGCACATGCGCATAACGTGTAGTTAGATTGATGTTCTCGTTGTGTTTATTGTAACAATTAAATTGATAAATACACAAGTAGAGCGTTTATATACACACCACATATGAATGTGTGCGCATACGCTGAGTGGACCCGCTCTGAAATGCGTTAATGCAGATAATAGAACACAAACACTTTCTCTATTCTCAATAATCGTTTTCTTCTTTCTTTTATATTTCAATTTTAATTGTAATATCACATTTCAATGGAGTGAAAAAACGCTCTTTTCAAACTGAGGCAGTTTACTATGTGGCAATTTTTGTTTTTGCATCGAAGTTATTACTATTATACACGAATGCTAATGTTAAGCACAAAATCGCACGAGAGTAAACTGCTTTACTTTCATTTTTGCCATTGTTTTTGGTATAATTATAGGTAATATTGCTTTTGTTTTGCGTCAAACATTGGTGATCTTGCTATCCACACGCTTAACACACGTACAATACGAATTAACCAATTCCATTAGCTCGTTTTTCCCCCGTCCGACAGCGTGTACGACTAAAATCTAACTGAACACAACCGCAAATAACAATAAAAGCTAATATTAAAAAAATAACGCATAGAAAAATAACGAAAATATGAGTAGAAAAGCGTAAACGATTTAACAAAGCGAACCACCAATTTGTGTCAGCAAGCAACTCCAACTGCTCATCTCAGTTGTCTCGCGTTCACTAACACTGCGGCTCAACTTGGCCACGTTAGCGTTGGGGCGCTTGGCACGTTTACTTTGTTGTTTTTTATATAAACCATAACAGCAACTTCGCTAATAACAGTCCAAATAGAACAAGCCACCAAACCAATCAGTTTTTGTTATAAAATATTGTTTATGCATACATACATACATACATACATATGTATGTATATGAAGGAAGTAATAACCAACAGCAGCAACAAAGTGGTGACTCAGCTTTTCAACCTAACAACGGTTGCAGTAAACTACAGCAACAGGCAGCCTAATGTTAGGAGCTTACCACATTCACGGCATGTATGTATATATCAAAAGTTAATAAACGTGCTTTTGGGTACACATTGCCACACACCACCAACCGACTAAAAGAAAACCAGTCAACAGAAATATATCAGTCAGAAGAGCGCTTAATCAAAGCTAGAAACAAGTATAGCGTAGAATGCCAACGTGAAAATTGCTTTTATATACATACTTTCTTATATACATACATACATACAAATATTGCGAAAGCAGATATGTATGTAGATCATAAGTAAAAACAACCAAATTCTCTTTTATTTTGTTGAAATTAAGTACTTTCAGGTGATATTAGAAATTAAATAAAAAACAATAAGCTGTATAAATATCATAAATACACATACAACGTACATTTGTTTATTTATTTTTGTACATCATCTATGGTAAAAATATCAAAAGTTTTGGTGTTATAAGAGTAACTTATCGTCCGAAGTTACTCAGGAACCAAAAACATATATAACGCTATTAGCAATATTAAGAGATGAATTGATAAAGCGTAGATTTCATTAACCTACTTGAGTTCCGTGATAATTGGTCACGAAGAGAAGTCGTTGTTGCTCAATATAAATTTTTTAATCCAAAAAAGTCGTAACTACAGAACTAACTTATTTTTATAATCTTTTTCAACTTGGTGTTTGCCTAAAAGTATACTTTGATTATTTTTTCAATATTTGTACTTTTTAAGCCAATATTTCAAAAATTTTGCATATTCTCGCCAGAACAGATAAGTGGTGTCTTATGGAAGCCGGTATTATCTTACAGTTGTCCTGTCGGAAATATAAAACCTTGAAATTTTGTTTTAAGCTTTGTTCTTTTTGTGATTTATACACTGATGGCCTTATTCTATTGCAGAAAATGCATCACGTGAAAGAAACTTTTTCCATATTACATTCAATACAATGCTAGAATTGAATAATGAAAATCTTATCATTCGTAATACAAAACATAAACAAAATGCTTTGAGAGAATAATTAAAAAGAATACTAGAAGACACTTCCGAAGTGTTTACTGATGACAAAATGCGCAGCCAATTGACGCCTAACCGTCGCCAGTTTGACCTACGCATAATACGCCTCTTTGTTTGTATGCACGATGGCTGCTATCTAGACTTTTACGCTTTCATCAGGTTGCAATAAATATTGTACAAATATATGTATGCCACGTAGCATAATGTAAAATTTTAAAATGTCACTTTTCTACGTAGGGCTACAAAGTTTTCAGTAGATATAAATCTAAATACTTTTTTCTTAACCGCCCAGTTTATTAGTGAAATAGCATAAAAGAAATATTGACTAAATAACAGTATGCAGTTGACCGGTCGATGTCGAGGTGACTCACATGTTTTCACAATCATACGCACTATCAATTTAAACCATGACTTCTTTATGTGGCATTTCAAATGTAAGCAAACATTTTAATCAATTACATTAACAGGTGTAAAATCTCATAATCCATTTATCAATATACATACGCATATTTCACAATAGGAAATTCACTTACGATCTTCCATTTTCGTTGATATTATTATTGTTTGAGTAGTACGCTGTTTTGCTTTACTTTAAGTTTTGTACGCGATTTTTATAGTATAATAGTCAAGAATATTTTTAAGTATGTAAAAAATTTAATAATATTTTATATTTATTTTCCGTTCTTTTTTGCAGATAAGCAATTTACTCCTTTACAAAAATTAGCTATTTTTCAGTAATCAACGATTAATTTATTCGCTACTTTTGACATACTCGTTTCAATTAATGCAACTTGGCGAGTAAATCAAACAGCTGAAACAGTGTGGAACAAGTGCATGAAAAACGTTTGGTAGTCTTAAAGACACTGTGAGGAAGAAATTTGCCTCACTTTGCATGACTGATTCAACTATGACGTCTGAGATGAATAGTAGAATATATATGAAAATTCCTATAGACGATGCTGTCGCCAACGCAACCTTCATTTCCTAAGGCGCTTCAATTATTAGCTATTCGTTTTTTCATAAGGTTTTTTCAAATCTGCAATATTGATGTGGTTGATACCAACGCTGTCCTGAAAGTTGGACATTTTTCATTATATGACATGGGATACCATTAGTGCGCGAGCCAATTGATTCAGATCTGATGTTCGTTTCACGAAAAATCAGAAAAAGTTTAACCAGAAAACACCATGTTCACTTCGTATAAATTCTAACATCTTTTCAAAAATTCAATTGAATACAATGAATTGTCTTGGGTCTGGATATTGTAGCATATTAAACTTCTACCTATCCAGACTTGATCCCAACATACCCTAAATATGGCCAGCTGGTGGAGAGTCTCAGCATGACGCTAACTATCTCTTAACATACCCGCTTAAGCCGACAAATCTAACCCCCCTTAGGTGACTTCAGTGGCTTGTGTTGATTTTAAATTTATCTATAAGAGGGGTTAATGTTGCCGCTACAACAAAAACAATTGTATCAAATCGGTCGGGTGGTCTGTGATGTAGAAAATGATTTCGGTATTACCACTACAATTAGGGAATCTGAAGAATACTATCTAGAATTTTTAAATGAGCAATGGATCAGAAATAAAACAAAACTGTACATAACCTCAAAGACTGTTAATCATTTTTATTATATAATACATTTTTATAAGTTATTAATTTGTTTTTATGTATGTATATTTATATATATATATAGTATATATATATTGTTTTTGGCTTATATAAAAAATTGTCAGAATTTTTAATTCCTCTTAAAACGTAAAATGAATGTTTAAATCTAATTTATTTTATTTTTATTTTTTATTTTTGTTGTTATGCCAATTTGCTTGTTTTATTATATGTTTAGTAAATCCATACAATTTGTTTACTGAGAATTAAGTACATAATCGATTAGAGTAAAATATGGTTTTATTAAAAAAAAGCTTAATAAAAAAATTAAAATTAAAATTAAAGTTGGAGAGTAATATTTTTTTTCCAACATTCGTATTAGACATGTTCAAGAAAATACTAAATAAAACAATATTTTACTGCAATCGGTTATCTTCCGGGTTTCTTTTACATGTTATTATATTTATGTATGTAAGTATATACATATACATAATTTTATATATGTTATTTATATACTTATAATTATTAGTGACATTTGCTGCCTTTGTTTTTTGTTGCTGTTGTTGTTGACTACTACAAAAGTATTTTGGTTTTGTGTTTTAAACACTAGTCGTTTTAACATATGTATATATGTATGTATGTGTGTATGTATAAGGTATTATTAAAAGTAATAATATGTGAAATAAAAGTGGAAAATTCTAACATTGACTACAGCTTATTTTCATGCTTACTTTTAAGTACACAATCACTGTATTATGCAGTATTACGGATTAATAATATACATACATATGTCTATATATACTCTTCTCATTCTGTAATTTTTTCTTTTTTAATTTGAAATGAGTTACCTATTCATATATTTTTACTTTTTATCTGGAATATAGGAAAATATATATTTTTGTATGTATATATTTCAATTGTTTGTAAAATCTGCAAATGTGTGTGTAAATATATACATACATATTTGTTTGTTTACATAATCTATTTTCCGTCTTTATTACTTAGTTTAATGTGGAATTCAGTATACCCATGAGCACAATTTAGTATACTTTATAACTGTAAAAGTTTATAAAAAAATTCATCAGGTTGTATTGTTGAAACTTGTTTTTCTTCATCTAACCAATAATTGTGTGTTTTGATTCGAAAGCCGGTGTAAAACAAATTAAAAATAGTTTGCGAAAATAAATTGAAAGATTTTGCATCTGAAAAATAAAATGTTTGTAATAAAAACGTTTAGATGATTAAATAAAAGTATAAAATATAGTAAAACATAAATATATAAAAAAAAAATAGTAATAGAAAATAAAAGACAAAGGAAAATTGGTTTTACGTATTTTTTTGTTTTATTTTAACTAAGTTTTCTATTTTTATTTATATTCAATGAATGAATCGTATTTTAATTGCATTAAGGAGTCCAACGTTTATACTATAACTTCTTGTATATTTATATATATATATATGTGTGTATGTATATATGTATGTATTTAGTTTTTGTGTTTGCAATGCATAAATTTTATAAAAATCGTTGTTACTCCTTAACTCAGTTAAGTTTTAAATATAGTTTGCAAAAAAAAACATCATTTATATAATTGTATAAATTGCATATAAGAAAAAAATAATAATTAAATAAATCGCACAAAATTTTAAAACTATAAGCCGAAAAAATGAAGACTTTTAATTGCACAGGAATAAAGTTTTCTTTTTTGTATATCCTTCATTTGATTTATTTGTTGTTTTTTTTTTTCCTTTATGGAGAGCTATTTAAATACATGTTTTGTGGTAAATGACAACGTAGTGTGTAGTTGGTTTCGACTTATAAAGAACAGAAATACAAAACGCAAAGTAAAACTAAACTGTATTAAGGTCTTCCCTTTCTATTGCAAACATATGTATATGTATGTATTACATATTTATATTTTGGAAATTTTTATTTTTTTTTAATTTCGAACAATAATAAACAGAACCAATTACGCATTCGAAAGCATTATTTCGTATCAAACGACGGACAGCACAATAATAAAGGTAAATTGTTTCGTTGGCATTTGAAATTTCAAACGGGCATATCTGTATGTACATATGTATATACTCCTTTTAAATAACATGTATATTATAGTTAAAAAATGTATATATATGTAAGCATATATAAATGATATATAATCAAATACAATTTATATAAAACGTGTTGCTGTGTTACATAATTCAGAGAAAAAATAAAAATATATTAATATTTGATAATGGAAGAAAACATATATTGCCATCAACTACATTAGATGGTTCCGTCATACGAGTATGTATGTATATAACTCTAATGACAAATAAATTCTTAAATATAACCATTTTTATGTTTACATATATGTATGTATGTATGCTCGTATATTTAATTCAAAAAAAAAAATAAAAATAAAAAATAAAGAACTTTTGGCAAATACTAAATCCGTTTGCTTTTACATATATATTTTCTAAACACTTCCGATTTTCATTATGAAAGCACGCATATGCGTGTAGGTGTATTGCATCAAAACCATCATTATTTCAGTTAAAGTCGTTGAATTTCTTCATTACTTTCGTTTTTCGTACAATTAATTCATACCTATTGTATGTATGTATGTAAATTTGCTCGCACACACGTATATTTGTATAACAGATAATATACTTAACGGCATACATTATTTTCCGTTGTCCAAAAAAGTTTTGTTTTTTTTTATTACAAAAAAAAAGGATAATGTAGAATTCACAACTTTTTAATTTTAGCAAATGTGCAAAAAAAAAAACTGATATTGAGCCAAAAAAAATGTCAAGCAACCAAATGTAATTTATGCCCGCATGCCCGTATGTATGTATCTATGTACATATGTACGAATATACGATTCATATTATAACCTAAGGTAAATGTAACATAAGTATGTGTGTATGCTTTTTCTGTGTGAAAAATAGTAATTTTACTTTTAGTTTTGGGATTTTACGTTTAACAAATTTCTTGGGCGCGCACAAACAACTTAGTTGATAGGCATATTGGTAAAAAGATAAGAAACGTGTAATAAATAAAAGTGATGATTGCAATTAGAGGTCAACTCAATAAATAAATTAATCATGGAAAATTTTAAAACGGTTACAAAATTTAAAAAGTAGTAAAAACTTTTTTTTTTGTTTTTAATGAGAACGTTTATATTGTGTTGGTTGCTAGGTACAAAGGAGGGAAAAAACGTAAAATAAACGAGAATAAAGCAGCGTGTGGTACTTTTCTCTAACACTTTTGGCCTTATTTGTTGTTGTTGTTAATTAATATTATTACTGGTAAATATAAACCAGTATATATGTATAAGTCGTTTTTTATTTTACTCTTTCCTAATTGATTTTTAATCTACAAATAGTTATTGCAAATAAAAATTTTGTTTCGTTGCTGTCTTTTTTGTTTAGTTGAAATTGTGTTTTGCTCTTTACAGTTTTATTATTTTCTCATTTTCTAATGATTTTTGTAGAATTTCAACAGATAATTGATTTGAAAACAAAAACGCTAAGGACAACCTTCGATTTGACGCTCACATAGCAATATATATATATATATATATGTATATATATACCTAATGTGAGTGAGTGTGTGTGTGTGTGCGCAAGTTGTGTTGATCTTCAAACCAATATGCTTCTCAGTTTACTTATGTTTATGTTATAAAGACTTCGTTTCTTTTCACCGTTGCCTATTCATTTTCATATTTTTAATATATTTTGATGCGTTTGCAATTTTTACTATTTTTTTGACTTTTTTATATACTTAATTGTTTTTTTTTTTTGTTTGCGTTAGTTAATGTCTAACTAACTTTACTTGTTGTCTAGCACTTAGTTCTTAGGTCCCCAGGCCGAAGTTAGGGGGGCAGACACGGGTGCGGGGCCGCCAGCTGCGAAATCTGGAAAATCTTCTTGCGACTGAGTATTGGGTGCAGAGCTCCTATTTTGCTTGTCGTTCGCCTTTTCCCAGGGTGCATCCTTAATGACAAAACCATTTTCATTTCCTCCACCACCAGGTAGGAAGGCCGCCACTGTCTGCGGTTGTGGCGATGGTGGTAAATTGTCCAAATATTCGTTAGTATAATCTTCCGCCATATTGAGTATAGCTTCCTTGGCATTTTCGACATCCTCTTCTTTGCCGATAATTATTATGCCATCGGGATTGGTTTGAGTCTTGTCGGAAGAGGCGAATTTAACGTCGACCTGAAGGTATACAATACAATGGAATTATATATTCAATATATATATATATATATATAACATACAAAATACACATATTCAAACATACAAGCTCATGTACATACATACACATATTTTTTAGACAGCTCTTACCTTATAATCCTCAATGATCTTACGAATGGTTCGTCCTTTATGCCCGATAATATGCGAATGTATGCGTGAGTCTACTTCGATAACCTCACGATACAAATCTTGCAGATCACCGACAATTTCCATGATAGCATCACGTGCAGCTTCGGTGTTGGCTTGATAACCGATAATAGTGATGGTAACTGGATCGGGATCAGTTCGTTTTGGCAGCGAAATTTGAACATCGTGATCAGCACGTAGTTTATTAATGGTAGCACCGCCACGACCAATTAATTTCGAGTGATATTGCGGGTCAACATCCATCTTTAACTCATACGAGCGTAGTTCCCTATCAGCGCGTTCAAGTTCATACTCTTCGATCATTTTATCTAAAGCTGCCTCAGCATCAGCTACATGTGCTGGTGTACCGCTGAGTTTTATCAGATCAGACTTGGTTTGGCTGGGCGGCAAGTCAATGTGCACATCATAGGTGGCCATAAATTGACGTACATTGCTACCTTTTGGACCAATGATTGAGCGATGCAAGTCGTAGGGCACATGAAGCTCTTTCACAATTGGTATCAAATCAAGCAGCGCTTGCTTTGCTGCTTCACATTTTTCGATGCGACCAGTTATGCGAATTATATCACATTCGCGTACAGGTTCTGCATTTTCTTCACCTTCTTCGCCGTTGCCGTTAGTGCCATTTACATAACCCTCAACGGGATTGGTAGCATCGCGATCGGGAAATTTAATTTGTACATCATGTTCGGAGGTTACTTGCTGCACTTTAAATCCACGCGCCCCCATGATGGTGCGATGTAGTCTCTGTGGAATGACTACCTCAATGGTAACTTGCGCCTCCAAGTCGGCAGTAATTTCGGCAATGCGCTGTTTCGCCGCCTCAATACAATCCTTGGCACCCTTCAAAGTAACCCTATCCGAATCGACACCGGGACGTGGGAAGGAAATCATAACACCGCCATTCTCCTCAGCAATGCGATGTAAAATTTCACCACGTCTTGCAACAAAATGCTTATGGTATTTAGGATCGACGGAGATTTCACCTTCGGTCACTTGATCAATATCTTTAATAACGGCTTCCAATTGCTCTTTCGCGGACTTGACACTCTCCTCTTTGCCAATGATTATGATAACCTCTTTGTCTTCGTCATCATTGGATGGGAATATAATGCGTGCGCCAGTGGCTTCACGAATTTTGCGAATGGAAGCTCCATTTTTGCCGATCAGGAATTTGTGATGCTGCGGATTGGCACGCACCTCAGCTGTGAATGAGGCGAGTTGACGTTCATTGGCCAGTTCGAGCAATTGAGCTTTGGCTTTCTCCACATCGTCCTTGGGACCGCGAATAGTTACCTAAAAGAAAAAAAATAAATCAAAATAAAATAAATAACTACAAATAAAAAATAGAAAATTTAATAAAATCAATAAAAACAAAAAAGAATTTAACCATTCGGCTAATATTCACCTTATCGCTCTTCGACTCGCTAGTGGGGAACTTGATCGAAACGCCACCACATTCTTCCATTATGGCTGAAATCAATTTACCACCCGTACCAATGATGGAATTATAGAATTTTGGCGCAATTTGAACTTCTTCTGTTACAATGTCAGACAACTCGTTTTGTATCTTCTGAATACGTTCCTTGGCTTCGAGTACATTTTCCTTCTTACCGGTGATTGTGATCACCTCATTCGTATCGCCCTCTGATGGCAAATCGATTTTCGTTTGAGTTTCGTCACGTATTTTCTTAATATTGACGCCACCTTTGCCTATAACAAACTTGTGGAATTGTTTAAAAATGGGCACCTCGATTATATGTGACGATTCCTGTATTTCCTTTACTAGTTTTAGTAAATCTTTGTGGCACTTGTCGACATCCTCTTTGGGACCACGCAGTTTCACAATATCGGTATTTTCTTGTGGCGTTGGTATAGTTATGGTAACTTGTCGATAACGATCCTTGACTTCACGTATCGTTTCACCCTTGGCACCAATAATCGAACGATGCAAACGACGATCAATGATCACATCCTTTGACTTTTCATTTTCCAGTTTATCGATTTTTTCTTGTAATTCAAGCTGAGCCTGTTGTACGCCGGCCGTCGGTCCCTCAATACGTATATTATTCTGACCTTCACGTTCCTCAATATTAATGTTCACCTGTAGTTCCTCCTTTAAACGATTCACATTTGCGCCACCCTTACCAATGATATGCTTGTAGTATGATGGATTAACGGTCATTACCACATACGTAAAGTTGTCCAAATAGTTGCGTACAATATCGTTGAGATAATTAGTCGCCAGATCGACACGTTCCGGATCACCCTCTAACCTAATCTTATCTTCCAGACAGTTGACATTCACATTAGGATATTCCTCCTCCAATCGACGCATATTGGCACCCTTGCGTCCGATAACATACTTCTGTGTCCAATTGGGCGCATCGATTTCGACCGATTTAACAGAATTGGCCTTTTGGTAAACATGCGTCAACGCATTACCCAAGGCCCCTTGAGGTCCACGCAATGTTATTGTCTCCAATGTTGAATCCGTCGGTGGCATCTCAACCGAAACTCCAGTGATGCGAAGAATATCCGCCAACGTATTACCCTTGGGACCAATCACGTAGCGATGCTGCGATTTGGCAACCTCAACACTGACAGTGGAGCATTTCTTTTCCATATCCTTATAAATGGCTTCCACTTTAGCTTTAGCATTGGCTACCGCATCCTTCTCACCCATTATGATAATATCATCCTTTTGCACCGATTGCGGTGGTACATTGATCTTCGCACCGGTTTCCGCCATTAATTTGCTAAGATTTTCAGCATTCGGTCCGACAATAAATGGATGATATACTTTTGGTATCGATATGCGATCCGAACATTTCTTATACTGTTCAATCGACAATTGGCGAATTTCTTGCTCGGCCTTATCAATGCCCTCCTTAGTACCCAAAATGGTAACAATGTCACTCTCATCCGTTTGAGCGGGTATATTTATACGCGTGCCGGTAAGACGTTCCAATTCACGCAAACGTTCACCGCGTTTACCAAGAATGACGCGATGATGTTCTTTCGGTACCGACACCTGTTTGCTAGCTTGGGTAGAGAAATGCATTAAGATGCGACGACGTGCATCTAAGATTTCACATTGCTTGCCCTTAATCAGAAAGGTTAAAGATTGATTCTTGCCACAGGCAATTTCAATTTGAGCGCCTGTATCCTTTGAGATTTGCTGACAAATACGTTTCGATTCACCTTCACCGAACTTGTCCGATTCAGTGGTCTTACGGTCATCGCCCGAAACATGCAACACCTAAAGGGTGGGAGGGGACGATTGAAATTATCTTAAGACATCAAGGTACACACACATATGTAAATGTATACAAGTATATAAAGATTTCGGATAGATTTTTTTCCAAATATTTCAGCAGCTACATATTTATGTATATATTGTGTCATAATACATATATCAGTTCATAGCTAACCTGAGTTATTTGTGAGGGCGTTACACGCACACACTGTGGTGCCGTATTACTACCGAGCGGTGCGGCGGTATTCGCTGGCAATGCCGGGAATAAGTCATCATAACTAAATGTTGGCGTTGCATTGCTGGTGTTACCGCTATTGGTGCTTGTCGGCGTAGCGACAGAAGTGGGTGAAGATGGCTGCTCGAGCTGGGCCTGCTCTTGTTGGTTGTTGGTGATTGGTTGTTCAACGGTTTCTACTGTAAAAATATTAGGGGCGAAATAAAAATGTTTAGAATTTTCATATTTTTATTTTATTATGAAGTTTCATTTAATAAGTACCGTTTGATTCCTCCATCACTGCTGCTTGCATTACTTAAAAAAGAGAAGAGTCCTTTTTCGTTCCAAGTCGTTACAGTACCACTAAAAACAAAGGAAATATATATATGTATATGAATTTATTTGCTCATTATGTTATCAATGGTAGCTTCTTTGAAGTTTATAAATTAATTTTAATTATAATTCCTTAATAAAAATCGCTGCAACGAAGAAAAAATATAAAATGAAAAAAAAAAATAAAAAAAATAAAAAAGAGTATCGAGTAAAAATATAAAAATATCTTACATTTTTAATTTAATTAAACAAAAAAAAAAACAACGAAACTTTAAAGTAATTAAACTATTTCAACGGCACAATATATTACTTTTCACACTTTACCAGACTACACACTTAAACGTACAGTAAAAATCATTTTTTTATTATTCGAAATTGTTGTGTAAATATGCTGCACTATCTGCTTATGCTTCATGGGTATATCTAATCTTATCAACGTGCATTTGTAAGTGAATTGAACTGAAACTTCTGCATATGCGAGAGCCGTTTTGAATTTAAAAATCTCAATCAGTGTAATAACAAAAAGCTTACTTACATACATAATGTAGCACATTTACATACATATGTACTTTACGGTACAAAAGATAATCATTTATATATACTATTTTTTATTATTTGTTTGCTTCTTGCCACTACTATTCTGCATCCAATGAATGTTTAGCACGTCATACCACATCCACTACATTGAGGGTCTCGACTTTCCAAATGATAACGACGACTAAATTGTGATAATCGAAGTAAAAATACTTGAAGAGTGATTAGGCGAGAGCACGAACATTTCAAATTCGTCTATGCGATGATTGTGGTTTGTGAGTTAAGTACATTTTTTTTTCTATATACATACATATATACACATACATAAATGCTATAAAAACGCCGGTAATTAGAAGTTGGAAGGAATGATTATGCTTGCTTTTAGGATTATGGTTTTATGCTTGTGTATATGTATGAGAAACGCGTATATATGTACATATATATACATAATTTACAAAAGATTCTGCTTCGCAAAGTATCAAATAGCGGTGATTTGCTCAGGATCTCTAAACTTAAAAAATGAATGCTCTGCCATGCAACGGTTTTCAGGCCGACATGGTATCCCTTTGTTTTGGTGCAATATTGTCCTTTTGATGAGTTTAAAATGACCCCCTGCGGGTTAGGGGCTCAAGAATCTACCCACGGTAAGGCATGCCTGTCGTAAGAGGCGACCAAAAATCCAAAAGTTCCCGCGACAGTCGGGTCTTTATACCGGAACGACTCGGATTTTTATGCGGCCAAGGACTGTTACTCCAGCAACATAACCCAAAAAGTACTTTGGGGAATAATTTTGTGGTTAAAACAACAACAAAAACAACAATATAAAATATGTGTACCAAGCCGGACAGCAGTGCTGATTAGTTTTGTACCTTATGGCGATAGGAAAAAGACTTCAAATCGGCTATTAGACTCTAAACTTTGCTGTTTATAAAGCCATCACAGCAGAATGCTTTAAGTTCTCGGTAGGATTTTTTTTCTTACTCAGTCCCAAAAATATTCGCCAATTTACTTTTTCTGGAATATTACACACGTTGATCGGTCATACACCGAATAAACTAACGAACTCCTGTTGTTGTAGCTGTAGCAGCAAAAATATTCGTAAAAAAACAATAGTTTTACGGCAAAGTTGAGGGCGTGACTGGTCTTGGCCGGATAAATATCTGGGTGGTTCCGGTATAGACCCGACTGTCGCGGTAACTTTTTGGTCGCTATGCTTTACAGCGGGAAAATTCCTGAATCTTTAAACCGGTGGGTTATTCCCATAGTTGGAACAGCAACTGCTCTTATTTTTCGTTAGCTTTGCAACAACAAATGAACTTCACTGCCTTTAGCAACTTCCAAGCGGACCGTGATCGATGAAAAAATTGCTGAAAGCATTACGTTGTATGTGCATCTTTTTCAATTTTTTTTTTTAATTTACATACAGATGTGCATACATATCTTCCGCTTATTATATATTTAAATAAAGAATGTAAACTACCATAACCTTTTCTCAAGGCTGAATGTGAATATCAAACACTTTTTTCATATTATTTTTAATATCAGCCTAATGTTGCATATGAAGTAAAAGAAATATGTATTTACATATACATATGTATGTAATGACAAAATTATTTTCACCAAAATAATATACATATGCATATGTCAAATGCATTCAACGCCAGCAGAGGATACCACATCAAGGTGAGAGCAGCAATGCACTTAAACTCCAATAGAAATATTCAGGTGGAAAGCCAAATTACTGTAAAACAAGTTGCAAGATCGACTTTTGCTATTAAATGAGACCAACAACTGTTAAGTCGTTGTGGCCGTAGTGTTCGCTCACATAGTTTTCCTATGTCTGCATCTATTGTACATAAATATGTATGTATTTATTAATGTATGTATATATAGACCAAGACAAACTGTAATGTAGATCAGCGAGGCACACGGAAAGCACCAGCAGACAATAACAATAACAATAACAATAAGAACTACACAATTAAGTCTAAAGCAACTAACCAAAGCAATGCCAATTGGGGCTATCGTCATTGTGAGATTTCTTGGCATTTATACTTTTTACTTCTGTCATTTTTTTTTTTTTTGGTCTTCTTTTTAATTTCCATTCATTTTTTTTTTTTTTTATATATTTTTCGTTTAGTTTGGTCTTGCTTTTTGAATGGCGAACACGCTTAACACCAAATAGCAGCACCTCATCATTACACTCCACCGCCGCCACCTTTCTATTGTATGTGCGCAAGGTACGTATATATTATATATAAAATCGCCAACGTCGAGCAACTTAACTAACGGCGGTAAATGCATACTTTGGTAGTAGTGGTGGTAGTAAAAGTTGTAGTAGTTGCTGTTCCCAGTAAGCACAATGGATACGCTTCGAATTTTAGATGAATTCGCTTCCTAAGCTCAATTGAGTTTGCTCGTGGCAATATATACTTGTCGATAAGTTACTGCCAGTACTGGCACCCCTGCGGGTTAGGGGCTCAAGAATTTACCCGCAGTAAGGCATGCCTGTCGTTAGAGGCGACTAAAATCCATTTTATCCCGCGACAGTCGCGTCTTCATACCGGAACAACACGGATTTTTATCCGGTCAAGGACTTTCACTCACGAAACATTCCCCGAAAAGTACTTTGGGGAATATTTTTGTGGTTACAACAACAACAACTACACTGGTACTTCCTATGGCTATTCAAGAATTCAATAAACTTAGGATTCGTACATATTTACATATGCAATTATAAAACTAGCATTTTGTATCGAATGAAGCGACTTTCGGAGGCGACTGCGAATTGCGGTATGCCTCTTGCTGCTTTCCCAACCGACAGTTTATACCAAGACGCCTTCGAACGACTGATGGTTTTGGTTTCTTTCTTCTTGGTCCAACCAGGACTCGAACCCTGACCTTTCGAACGACAGTACGCAATGCTAACCACTCGGCTATCGCAGCCGATAAACTGATTAATTGGTAAAGGAATTATTAGTAGAAATTGCCAATTGAAAAAATAATTTCGAAAATAAAGTGATTACATCCCCGCTTTTGTATTTACTGGGTTGTCCAACTTTCAAGCTGAGATACGAAAATGTGTCAAAAGAATGTACTGGAGGTATAAAGAAAAACCGGATAGGATCTACCGTCATCGTCGTCGCAGGCAGCCAAAAAAAAAAAAAAAAAGCAAAGAAAAAAAAACGCACGAACAGATAGCAAACCATCAGGTTGGCACTGGCCAAGCTTTCGTTGAGACGAAGCAATAACGCTGCGCGTTCGCATTAGCGGTTAAGTATGGTAAGTCATAGAATAATAAAGCCGGTACATAGTGTGCAAGTGTATATATATATATATATACATATATATATGTATATTTATATCCCTACATACAAATGTTGGTGCATATACATATGTATATACATGCAAACATTTGTATATTCATTTATATTTGTATAAAAAGTTAGCGCGATCGTGCTGACGGGCTGTTCAACTATTGTATACAACCAATAACAACAACAGTGCCTACTGCATGAGTAGGCAACAGGTAATACCAACATTTTTAATGTTTTTCTTTTTTGTTTCTGTAAATTTCTCAAAATCAACTAGTAAAACGTGCGGTGACTGAATAGCTCTCGCTTGACTCAACAGCAGCCTCAGTTGGACTGATGGACTTCCAACCAAGTATTTTTTAACTCAAACCATTTGCTGCTGTTTCACCCATTCAACTCTTTTACTTTAGCATTTTTACTCGATTGAGGGGATTTTCACTTTTCGATTTTAGCTTTAGCTAAGGAATTAAATTAAAATATGAAAAATGACTAGATTTTCAGGTTGAACTTGTCTGCTGTATGTACGGGTATGTGTGTTTGTATACATATATATACTCGTATGTATGTATGTATAGATAAGCAAAATCAAATTTTAATAAAGTCATTGCACGTCCATTTTGTTCCATAAAATAATGTACGAAAAAGAAAATACTATGTTCATGTGTAGTAATATATGTATAAACGCTTCAAGACAAACACCAAAGTTGTAAGCTTCGACTGCGCGCAGTCACCACACCATCATAACCATAACGCTATTGACTACATAGCGCCAGTCAGCAGCGCAGAAAACACACATTTTGTCGACGTGTCCGGGGTATTTCAATACAATTTCACAAATTTGGAAACTTCTGATCGCAAGCGATCACGGCAACGACTGCTTGTGGTAGAGCTACATATGTACATACTTACATATGTATGCATGTGCCTTAGCTGATAGCGCTGACTAGTTTTTCTTTTTTCAACCTCATTTTACGCTCTTTATGCACACTATATTAATAAATTGGTTTTTCGTACTGCTTATTATTGATTTCGTATTCTTAACCTTATCACAAAACGATATTTAATAATGATTAAATTGTTGGCGCCGTCAATTTTTTAACGTAGCTAACGCATAGTAAATTTATTTTAAATGAATATTTTGCAATTGTATACACGCTTTTTTAATAAAAAATATATATTTTCAGCAACAATATAATTATTTATAGCTTATTATAGCTGCGATTTTATATGAAATCATAAGTAAGCATAAATATAATACGAAATATTTTTCTTCTAAAAGTGATAGTTTCCTCTAAACTGCCACTTTCACTAGAATAAACTTAAAAACATGGTCGATCAATAACTGAATGTTCATAAAATTTTATCTGTATGCCTGTAAAATACATACATAAGCACATACAAATGTTGATATATATCTACATAAATGCATATCAAATTAAATCCGTAAAAGAGATGAGACTGCAGTGATCGCATCGAAAAATTGTTTTACTTTGGAAAATGATCATACGTTGAATGTATATACGTTTGTAAATGTATGTATTTGTATATAAATACCACTGTATGTACATTCTCACGTACTTTCACCATTCAAACCTGCTATTCTAGTGTTGTTGGTGCTAGCCTTCCAAGTTTTCCCTGCATTTATATAGCTCTTTCATTTAGCTACCAACACACCTATTAAGCATACATATGTCCGTCCATACGTGAAAAGATTATAGACCATAAGAAACTTAAAAAAAATCACGAGAAACACACTAAAAAAATATTGTTTTTTATACCTTCCAATGAATTATATTATATTTATGCGTCCGTATTGATATTTTAATTTACTTACTGTACTGTAAATTCCAAAAATCCGGCCTATTTCTTTGCTTCCGCGGTGAAATCCAGTTTGATAACTTGGGCTGTCCTCTGCTGAAAATGAAGGATAATAAAAATCAATTCGAAATTGTTTTACTTTTACAAAGAAAAAAATCATAATAATAAAATAAATGGTAGAGAAAAAATTTATTAAATAGGTTTATTTCATTATATCTTCATTTTCTCGATGTTATAAAAAAACTCTTAGATAGTTATTATTGTAATTGCTTGAAGCTCCGCAAATATGCTCTTCTTTTTAAACAATTATAAATACCAGTTTACTTTTTTTCTATAAAATGTGGTTTCGATCCTATTCCAATAGCAAGATACTACAAAACACTCGTATAAAAGTATTCCAATTATCAAATAAAGTCCATATTGAAGAAATCAACAATGTCCACATGTCCCTCCCAAGTTTTATACTGATTAGTCGAGAATAACTAATCAGCAGCGGTCTATATAAAATTGAATTACACTATATGACATATTTCGTTGTTTAAAATTAGGCGTTCTCACAGCTAGATTTTTTATATATATGAATGTATGGGCACATTCATGCATATAGTCGAATTTTATGCAAACAAAAATGTCGCGTGGCAAAACTATCTCTTTATTGCTATGCCCTGCAAGCGGTACACTACTCACGACTTAAAGGAAAGTTAACTATGAGTTGCACTTAAAAATGCAAGTTTATTTTCCGTCCAAAACCAACTTGCACAGCAAGAATTAAAAGAAAAACGTGTTTTCCGCAGCATCGTTGACATTTAACGCCAACGTCGACGTCGACGTTGGCCGAAACAGAGACAAAAACTCAGCGACGTTCATCAAAGCCGACAAAACTTCCACGTACGAAATAAGTGTTGCCATTTTATTATGAATCGAACAAATATTCAACGCACAAACTGCAAACATCTATTCAACGCTTTCTCAAATATTGATAATCTTATCAAATAGCTGATATATATGACATCCGCATGTGTATCTATAGTTGTTTTTAAATAAATAACTTATTCCGTTCAATTATCGAGTAAATTAATTTGCCCACTCTGTTCGTCATTACACATGTATTCTAAATAGTCTGTCATTTTTCTGTATTTGTATTTGTGTTAGCCCACACTCTGCTGCCGTCGGCACTTAACGCCAACGCGCGGTCGTCGACAAACCACCACTGCTTTTGACTTGCTGGCACATCACAATGGAAAAACGCCGCTGCAGCGAGGGCGGCCTCAATTTCAATTTCCTCTTTCCAACCATATTAATTCACTTTTTGTTGAATATTGTAGACCTATAACACTATTGCACAATAAACCTTCTATAAAATAGAGTATTTTCACCAAATGTTCTTTATATATAAAGTTTAATTTTACTTATGGCTAAATTTTAGGTTGCACACCGCGCAGTAATGTTGAAACGTACCGATTCTCAGACGACCAAGTGTTAAATGATGTCGTGATGTCGTGTTAATTTTTGAGTTTCTAAATTTCTTTCACATTCTTTTCGTATGTAGGGTTGCAATTGCGAACGGGAAATAAATAAAGGTAACTCTGCCAGGAATTAATGTTTAACCCACTAAGGTCCGCTATGAACGTTCTTTCTTTTATAAATGGCTGATGGTTTTTTTTATAAGGAACCTAACTTTATTTCTTGACTGAAAAACACTCGTAGAAGTGGGCATTCCCTGCCGAGGAGCAATCGTAATTAGAAAATTCAACTTATTTTTTCATTTACATTATGTTGCTGGCACTGGGATTTGAACTTGAGCCTTCCGAATATCTGTATGCAATGCTAACCACTCGGCTACCGCTGCCGTCATTAGCGGTTACAAAGCGCCAATTATATAAACATAAAAGCATTCCAGAAGACTCTAGAACTGAGTAAGAGCAATTTATGAGGTACATGAAAGATCGGCCAACGGTAGGGAGTCTGTTACAAAGTGAACTCGAGGGCGACAACATCGGTATAGAGTAGAGCGGAATAAAATGTGTGTTTATAGGAAGTTGCATAGTTAGCAAACTGTGCGAAAATTGAGAAATAAGTCGTCGTGAATAGTATAGTTATTTATTAAGTAATAAATAAATGTTGATTAAAGTCTTCACAATTAAGAAATAATACAACATTTGGTGACTTTTATTTGACAATCGAACTCGAAGGAATTGGGTAATCGTCAAGGTGTTTTTAACAAAATCGTCGCTATATATTTAAGGCAGATTCTGCATTAACTTGAAGTGGGGCAGACCTTTGATGCTGGTTAGTGTCATACTCGAATACAAAATCGATAGTTTTTGAAAATTTTACCAAGTTGGTTTCGTTGTACAGAATTATTCCCAAAAAGTAAGCCCGCCCGAGCAAACAGTCTGTTGCATATGTACCGTTATATCCGAAGTGAGTATATTTTACTATTATTGTTTGGGCAAATTTTGATTAAATGGTACAAGTATTATTGAATTATTGTATATTAAAAAGAAATATTACTAAAAGTAGACATTAACCCGTCTATTTCATTATTATTAGCAAACTGTCAAAATGTTTTAAAAGATTTGACAATTCAAGCGACTAAAATCAGCTGTTCTAATGCTATACAGGTTATTAGGGAACTGATAACCGGATTGAAATTCGTGACGAATTTTGACACTGTTGCACGAATTAGAATTTTATATTTATAAATGAAAGCGAAATCTCACGTGCAATATATATGTAGCGTATGCAATAATTGAGCGTTAATGATTGATTGAAACTGTTGAAGCGTGACACATGCAACACCTGTCAAAGGGATTGCATTCGAAAGCATCACAATTATAGCAAATATTAAAGTCAGTGGATTAGAAATAAACAGATACTTGTAAGCAACTAAAGTGAAATGTATAACTTAAATTTAACAGTACTTTTATTTGTGTCTATTTTCCTCCAAGTACTCCTTGTCGGGGGACAATTTAATAGTAAGTGAATGAATTAAAAGAAATTAAATATGACGAATACAATAAATAAGGAAATAAAACTAAATAAAATTAAATTAAAATATCAAATATCAAATTCAATCAAATCAAATAAAATTAAATTAAAGATAAATAGTAATAAAAATAAAATGAAACAAAATGAAATTATAGCAAACATAAGATAAAATAAAAAATATAAGCAAAATGAAACGGAAAATTAAAAAAAACCTGATATTAAATAAAACAATATAAAAAAAAAACAAAATGAAATCAAAGAAAATTAAATAAAATTTAATAAAAAAATTAAACAAAATCAAATGAAAAATAAAAACAAAATAAGTAAACAATAAAATAAAAATTAAATAAGGAGGCGTATTAAAAAAAAATAAAAATAAAGTAAAATGGAATAAAACAGTTAAAATTAAATAAAATAAAAAATGTTAATATAATAACTAAAATAAAGGAAAAAAATTTAAATAAAATAAAAAGAAAAAAAAAACAAGGTGGAATAAAACAAACGGAATATAAAATAAAATTATATAATAAAGCTAAAATCAAGTAAAATTAAATTAACTAAAGAAATTAACATAAAATTAAATAAACAAAGTAAGATAATTAAATAATATAAAACAACAAACAATTAAAAAAATAAATTCAAGAATAAATAAGATAAAAAAATGAAATGAAATAAATCAAATTAAAATAAAATAGTAAAATCGGGGTAAAAGAAGGGAAAAAATAATAATAATAGCTAAAATAAAAATAAAATAAAATATGTTAATATAAGAACTAAAATAAAAGAAACAAATTTAAATAAAATTATATAATACTAGCTGAAATCAAGTAAAATTACATTAAATATAGTAATTAAAATAAAATTTAATAAGCAAAAGATAATTAAATAAAATAAAACAAAAAATAATAAAAAAAAAAATTCAAAATAAAATAAAGCAAAACCAGATAAAAAAATTAAATGAAATATGGTACAATAAATAAAATTAAAACAAAATAGTAAAATCGAAGTTATATAAGGAAGAAAAAAAAGGCCAAATAAAATAATAATTAAAATAAAAATAAAATAAAGAAGTAAATAAAAATTAACTGAAATGAGTTAAAATTAAATTTAATAGCTCAACATAATGTTTATTTAAACCACTTTAGTGAGCATTTACAAGCAAATGCCGCCACTATATCGATTCGATGACTACGATCAATGCCTGCAACTTGAAAACCTCAACTTTCCCGCTAAGGCAACATACTGTGTCGTATTCTCTGAAATCGTACAAAATGAAGAGTCAACTCTTTGGAAGGAAATATCTAGGATGTCTGCAGATAGTGAACATCATTTCAGACATGACCGTTTATTCTTTGGAGTTTGCTTGGAACGATGCAAAAGTTTATTACGACCAATTTTAAAAGTTCGTCAGCACGAACTTTCCCGTAAAGGGGCCATAAGAGATACTGAGGTTAACTTTAAACTTTAATATATGTTTTTTTAAATATTAAAAGAAAATCATAATTTTTATTACCATCAAACTACACTGCCAGCTACTTCAATATTACTTTGATGTGCATAACAGGGATACCGATAATCGTATTAAATATGAGAAGCTCGTAAGCAGTTGTCTTAATTACGAATTTCAAAAAAAATTTGGCTTAGAATTGCGAACAAGCATTGAATACTGTGAACAAGCGAATGTCAACTTAGAACATGGTAACTTGTTTTTATTTGTATATGCAATATTCAATATAAACGTATATATGCTTTTATCAATTATAGATTTCTTGGATATTTCTGTTTACGCCATTTTTGCAATTATTATGTTGGCCTCAATATTTTCCACACTTTTCGACTATCGTCTCAAATTGAGTCAAACTTTGAATAATAACAATAACGAATTTTATAAAACTCCACTTGTGAACTCAGGTAAATAATTCACTTATAACCATATCTAACAGCAACGGTAGTACGTGGGATAACATAATAGTTTGTAGCTGTGAGTTATCCTGTTTGTTTTTTTTTTTTTGTTATTTTATGCTTATGCCTCTGAAATTGCTAAAGACCACACTCTATTGTACTCAAAACTTTGCACCTTACAGCTCAACAACTTTTGGTGTCTTTTTCAATTTGTCGCAACTTCTATCGAATATCCCATACTACGAAAAGTTGCCAACAAACCACAGAGGAGCTTCGATTTTTTGATGGCTTGCGTGTAATTGGTGTTTTTCTAGTTATATTTGTGCATTCTTTGATTCTTTTTATGGCCGTCCAAGTGGAAAATCCAGAATTTTTCGAACAATTTTTCTATCGACCGGAAACAGCTATTATCGAAAATGGCGCAGCCATAATACAAGTATTTTTTGTTATGAGTGGATTTTTGCTATATGTAAATTTCAACGAAAGGAAATTTGTAAATACAAATACGAGCATTGGCGATTGCATAATTGTCTACTTTCAAATTTTCTTTCATCGCTATTTAAGGTATATAATACGCGCGGGCGTAATTCTTTTCAAATAATTTTTTTTTTTTTTCATTTTTAATTAAGTTTATTTCTCCATAGACTTTTGCCATCACTAGTAATACTCATACTTTTCAATTCCACTGTTCTTGTGCGTTTACAAAATGGACCATTTTGGCGGCATTATGTGGAGGCGGAACGCGTGTTTTGTCGGGAATATTGGTGGAAAAATGTGTTTTTCGTTAATAACTACCTATTCAAAGAGAGTGTATGTAAATATAAAAGTATGGGGTTATACATTTCGTGGTTTCAAAAGTACGGTGCTGTATTAGAGCATATGTCAAGCGTAACTGTCAAACCAAACATATGTTTTGTTTTAGTTAAAAATCAATTATAAAAATGGATCGCTTAACAACCACATAGTGCGTTGAAATTGTTAAAATCTACCACAAAGATGGTAATAATCGTCCAACTACCCAAATAACTGGTAAAATTTTAAAGAACTTTGAAGGCACTAAATCGGTGACAGATGTTGGAAGACCTGCTCATTATCGTTTTAATCGTTTCACCTCAAATATCGCCACAGTAAGCGAAAGCGTAGCCGAAGATCCGAATTTTTCGATGTTCGCAAGAGCTGGGACTTTCTTACGGTACATTATGGCCTATTTTGCAGCTTGACTTACAACAGTTCACCCAGCAACTGAAGCCAGCTGACTATTTGCAACCCCGTATAAACGTCGTTTGGGTGCTTAAATAACGAGCAGTGGACGGCGATTTTTCGAACAAATTTTTTCTTAACGACAAGGCTCATTTCTCACTCGTGGGATATAAAAATAAAAAAAAATAGTCGCTTTTGCAGCTCTAAGAATCCTCAAATAGTGGAATACACTGAAAGAAAGCTTACTTCAGGTGCGCTTTTTGGTCCAAAGGTGTAACAGGATCTTACACATATATATAATTGTCGCTTGGTAACCGCTAAAGCTAATTCGTAGTTTAGCGTCTTTATGTTTTTCCAACAAATGGACCTGTCACTATCAATTCGGAGCGTTATGGTCGTTTGATAACCGACTTTTTCCTCTGAAATTGAAGAAGGCGACCGGGATAATATGTGGTGTCAGCCAGTTGGTGCCACACGATGCACAACACGAGGGAATATGGCTTTATTGCGAGAGAAATTTTTCGACTACGTAATCGCTCGTCTTGGCGATGTATTGAATGAGTGCATAAGTTCGTGCCCGATTCCGCTGGATGCCGTTCGAATCGTTTGAGAGTGGCGTTCGTGAAAGAAATATATACATATTATATATCGTTGGAAAGGTGACAGTCCGAACTGTAAATCAAGCATAAAATAATTTCATTTTGATTTGAGTTGCTTAGTGAAAAGACGCATGGAAGATGGACAACGAAAAAGATCATATGCGTCATATTATGTTATACGAATTCCGCAAAGGAAAAACAGTAGGCGCTGCAACTAAAGATATTCGCGAAGTTTATTTGGACCGTGCTCCAGCACTCCGCACAGTAAAGAAATGGTTCGCGAAATTTCGTTCTGGAGATTTTAACCTCGAAGATCAACCTCGCAGTGGACGGCCTTCTGAGCTTGATGACGATGTTCTAAGGACTTTAGTTGCGAATAACTCACGTATTTCGACGGAAGAGGTTGCCAGTGAATTGAACGTCAACAAATCAACTGCGTTTCGTCGTTTAAAAAAGGTTGGGTACACTTTGAAGCTCGATACATGGGTGCCACATCAGTTGAGTGAAAAAAACAAAGTGGACCGTATGTCAACAGCAATTTCTTTGCTTCGACGGATCAAAAACGAACCTTTTTTGGATCGGCTCGTGACTGGTGATGAAAAATGGATCCTGTACAACAATGTTCAACGCAAAAGAACATGGAAACAGGCACACGAAGGGGCGGAACCGATGTCGAAAGGTGGATTGCATCCGATGAAGGTACTGCTGTGCATTTGGTGGGATATCCGAGGCGTGATCTATTTTGAGCTCTTGCCAGCTGGAGAAACGATCACTGCCAACAAGTATTGTCAGCAATTGGTCGAATTGAAGAAAGCAATTGATGAAAAACGTCCGATTTTGGCCAATCGCAAAGGAGTTCTTTTCCATCATGACAACGCCAGGCCACATGTTGCAAAACCGACCCTGGCCAAACTGAAGGAGATGAATTGGGAAATCATGCCGCATCCCCCATATTCACCCGACATTGCACCTTCTGATTATCATTTGTTTCGATCGCTGCAGAACAATTTGAATGGAAAAAAATTTAAAAATGTGGAAGACGTCAAAAACCACCTTGACACCTTTTTCAACGAGAAACCGCGCGATTTCTATGAATCAGGCATCCGTAAATTGGTTGAACGTTGGGAGTGGATTGCCGAACATGATGGCGAATACATAATTGATTAATAAAAGCGCTTTCTTCAAAAAATTTCAATTTTAGTTTGCACTTGAAATCGGGCACGAACTTATGTACTCATCCAATATATTGGGCACCGAGATCGTGCAATTTGACATCGGTATCTTTTTTTTCTGAGGCTACGGGAAAGACCGTGTTTATGTATGTGTTTACCCTTTAACTCTTCACTGGAAACCCAGTATTCGTCAATATATGGCTGAGATACCGCCCAATATGTGCAGGAATTCACGAGGTGGCCATTTGAACTATGCAGTGTTTCAAATCACTATATTTGGGGTTCAAATCATATGAAAAATAACGCATTATTTTATAATTAAGTATTTTACTAATCTTTATTTTCGAAACCGCAAAATGAATAACCGAGTTTATACTCAACCTCATTACTTAACATATTCATTAATAATGTTCGTAGTGCTCACATCAAACCTGGTATCTAGCAGCCGATATGCAACTTTTTGAATTATTCCTTACAGTTTTGATCGTCATCAATAAGTGAGTGAAATACAATTACTAATTAAAAATAGTAAAATAAAAACAACTACTTAAACTTTCAGATTTCCAACACTTCGAAAACTTGCATATTCCATTCTACTAGTATTAACTTTCTCGATAACAGGATTCATTACATACTTTTTAAAACTAAAGCCGATATATCACACAAATCCAGAGTAAGTAATTAACAACTAGTTTACATTCCTTAGTATTTTCTAAAACTTACGTTCGTTTCACCTCTAGAAACTATCGTTATATGTTTTTTCGCAATGCCGAAACTTTTTACCAAGCATACACACCCTTCTATACAAATATTGGTGGCTACCTATTTGGCTTCATTACCGCAGAACTATACTTGAAGTTACGCAACAATTGCAAACAATGCCGTGGAATATTAAAATATGAACTCAGCTGGTGGCTAATATTTCCCATTGCTTTTGGTCTACTTTTCTTCGCTGGATTTTTTATGTCAATAGATTTCGAGGAGCCCTCAATTTGGGTCGCTCTATTTGCGAACTTTTATCGGAATATATGGGTTTTAATCTGCTGTGCAGTGATTTTGGGCATGTGCTTAAAATTGGGATGTAAGTGTCATGTAATTATCAATGTGCATAGTAGAAAGTTCTTTATTTCATTTTATTTTTTAAGGGATTGCTTACGAATTTTGCTGTTTTAAGTTTTTCCGCATTTTTTCGAAAATTTCATATCAAGCCTATTTGTGGCATCTAGTCATTCTGCGTGTAATGGGTGGCTTCTATAGACAGCCAATTTATGTAAATCGCTTTTATTTGGTAATGCCATTTGCATATTTCTTATTTCCAACGTATAATGAAATTCAATTAATTTCAGTTCTGCCAAATTATAATCGCCTTTGTATTGACTCAAATCGTCGCTTTTGTATTTGCATTGTTTTTCGAATATCCATTTGCAGAGTTGATTAAAAACCTTTTACCATATTATAAAGTTGAAAGGAAAGAAAGGAGGAAGGAAATGTATGGCTTAACATGAATAAAAACTAAAATTTACTTTGTGTTATTACTATGTACTTTATATTATACACAAATAAACATTTATCTGCAAACAGCGTAAATTTATATACTTAAATTTCTTTCTTTGAACAAGACAACACAATCATAATCGGATATCCTCTTCATCACTTCCGTAAACTATTTTTTTTTTAGTTGGAACCAATTCAAAATCGCCGAAAACTACTATTTCGTGTGCAGTGACTGTCAGATCGTAGTTATTTAAATTTAAAAAAAGTGGAATTTAGTAGTTTTCGTGCCCCAACTCGAGCTGAACTGTTAATGATCCAAATGCAGGTGCTACAATTTAATAGCAAAAAATACAACATTGGTGTTCAGCTCGTATTGCAAAAACAACGGAATGTCAAACAATGAAAAAGCTTGAAGCGGTGCAATAGGCTTGATATGCTTATATGTACGCTGCTTTCTAGTAGTGGACGGCAAAGTGGCGAAGTAAAAACACTGGTGAAAATAAAAACCCTAGTGAATTTTCAGCACATATGATCTATAGATCTATTTATTTTGTTATCATTTCATTGACAACCCTATAGACATTTATCGTAAATGCATGCATGTAGAAATATCTTAAATTTAACAACGATTGCATTCATTCACCTTCTAAACTGACCGGCATGACACTTCGTCGCATGAGGTAAGTAAATAAAAAAACTAGCTATGCGTTCATATATATATACTTACATATACAACGGTATAAAATTAGAATGCACAATTTGAAGGACTGCTAAATTTGATTGTCCAGTTGTCAAATTGTATCGTGTTTCGGAAATCTTTATTTACATGGAGAATATATTTAAATTATCAAAAATATCGTATTCTATACCTTGTACATTCATTGCTAATTGATATTTTAATACCACTGATAACAGTGATAGCACTGATATTTGATTGATTGAAAGTCAAATAAGTGTGCTTGAAGTACTTTCAACCATAAACAAATGTGTACACTTAGATAAAATAAAGGTACTCTCAGACACACCAATTAATTGATTCCGAATTGCATGTAAAAAAGAAAAATTTTGAAATCTAACTTCAAAAGCAGTCAAACGTAGGAACACGTTAATCGAAATAAAACTTTGCTGTTTCGGACAACATTAGGATATAGCTAACAGATTTTTGTAACAGTATAAAAATAATAAGTTAATGTCGAAATCGGGAAAATGTCAGTGACAATACTGTTGAGCCTTCGTTAAATCAAAGCTAGCACTTTATAATATAAGTATCAGCCGAAAGTGAATTTTCGGCATCACAGACTCTACATCATTCTTACATATACATTTAATTTATAACTTCAAATAGCATTCCATTCAATATTTTAAAATAAATAATTGGTAAACTGCATTTGACTAAATTAATTATTTGAATTTTCTTTAAAATTGTTCAATAGATAATTGTAATTCTAGCGTAATTATTTCTAAATAAACTTTTATCAAAAATAATATATATAGATATTAATATATATATATATATATACCCAAATGTAACGTCCATAAAAAAATCTCACCCTGATAATACGTTTGGTCAACGTTATTTGTTAAAAATTTTACCATTAAAAACAAAATGCTTTTTATTCAATCATTTTCCGTTCCGCCTTCAATCAGACCAATTTTATTAATTTCCGCATCACTGTTGGCATTTCATTTGCTAACGTCAATGGAAAGTGGACGCAAGCAAAACGTCAAAAAAGAAGAAGAAAAATTAGATTTTGGAAAATTGGAAGCAAGATACTCGGTGGCGGATAAGAAGCAGTAGAACAGCGGCAGCAATAACTACTTAAAAATCAAAATTTGTAAAATTTTTATAAATTACCAACGATGGCACAGAGGGCACAGGAATTAGCGGAAAAGTACCGGAAATCAGTGGAAGAGGCGCTCAAAGACCGCAGCAAACCCTGGACTCAAGCTTTTGAATTTGTCGAAGCAAAAACAAACGTTCCCAGATTATATTTATTTTTGGGTGAGTCGTCTTGCTTTTATAATACTTTTGCCGATTCGTTGACATCACGGCTTTGAAAAGGCTATATTGTCAACGTAGGCACACACAAGTAATGCAATTGATTTTTAAAAATAGCACATTCAATGTGGGGCAACTATAATTAGTGTTACATTTGGCGAATCTCAAACACTTTCAGGTTTTAAAAACTGGCCTGACTTGCGGAGTGTTTGGGAACTTTCGTTATGTTATTCTTATCTTTTCATTTTCCTCTTTTCCGTCAAAAAGACTTTAGACTTGAGCAAACAATAGTAGTAGAATTACTCATGGTATGCACGTTATTTCATCAGTTCTTCCATTTCCCTAACTTTCACAAAACAAAAATTATTTTGCTATCGCTTCTTGAGAGAGGTTTAATATAGTAATTTAAAGTGAATTTTACTTAAATTTTGCAAGTGTTTCAGTCGCTTTTTACTTTTTTTTTTTTGCAAATAAAAGATTATCATAGTGAACCAACAATAGAAAAAGTAAAGGGCAATAATCAGTGCTGACGTCACAGTATAAGAAGCAATAAAATAATTTTATCATTCCAATAAATTTATATAAATATATACGTGGCAATAAATATAAATATGTAAAACCATTATTTTACCTGTTTTACGTTGTGCACCGGAGTAACTTGCTAAGTCAATGCTTATGAATAAACTTGATAAAGCGTGACTCAGCTTTATTGGACTTATAAAGATATAATCATAAATACTCGGAAGCCTTTTAATTTATGAAAGCATAGAGTGTAAACTGCGTTTCAACATGTGGTTATGGGATTCTTTTATTAACTGGCGAAAACGCGAAAAGCGCATACAAACGCTTAGTGCGCCGGTGGTTAAAATTGGAACTGGTGTGTACTTGTTATGATGCGTAATACATATTTGAATTGTATGTATTTTAAGCTTTTATGCTTAAAGAATTTCCTTGAGCTATACAAATATTATTTACAATTAACTTCGCTATGTACATATATTGATTGTTAAGTCTACTTATTTATATACTTACATATTTATGTGCTCATGTACTGTTTATAATGCAAATTTGTATGGTTTGATAAAATGCACTGGTGACTACATATTTATTTAGTACATTTTTCCACCTTTGGACTTTAGGAGAATTGGTACCAAGGGAAATGTAGTTTTAAACGAAGATGCGATTTTTAATAATAAATAAACGTTTGTATTTACTACATGTTATTTGCACAAATAGAGCTCTAACTATTTTTTTTTTTTGTTATACATATATATTTCTATATGTATATATATGTATATTTGTCTGCTCCAATATAAACATTTTATTTCTTTATAACCTATTTCATAAAAACTGTGCTTACAACACATCTAAACAACAACAAATAATATTATATCATAATTTTGTCACAGTGCAAGCATACAAGGTTTCTCTTATGAATATTATTATTTATTTATTTTTATATATATCTCATATATATTTTATTGCATTTATCTTTTGATTTGTGAGATGTAAGTAAAACATAGAAATCAATATATATTAATCGCATATGTTTGTATAGCAATATATAGTAGCAAACATAAATACTTACACAGTGGAACTAAGAACGCTTATACTATTGTACATATGTATATCAATACTCGAACAGCAAACAATTTACTCTTTAAATATGCGAGACCAAGAATCTGGTTTTATTTAATTAATATGTAATATGAGTAATTACATTCCTAGATACCGCTTTTTTCCTGTCTGTCTTTCACTATGTTGAATCACATATGTACATATGTATGTGCTTATCATGTTCTCCACATATGAGAACCTTTGTTGAAATCTTGTTGATCATTCTGTAAATTATATTTTGTTAGTCTCTACTGTGCTTTACTTTAAGCACATGGATATAGCAAAATGGTTAATTTTCTACTAGGTAATATAATGATAGGCGATTAATTACCTTTGTTTTTCCTCTCTTTCGGATAGCGTTCTCTGTTTTAGACGTTTTTCAGTTTGATTACTACTCGTTAACACGCTGTATACCGAACTGACAAGCGGCTGTTGAGGCATTTTAAATTTATTTACGTGGCAAAGCAGAAAAAATGGTTTATTCGTTGTTGAAATAGTACAAGCGAACCTTTCACATATAAAAAAAAACCTCTAGCTTATTTGCTCTTCGTATTTCAACAGCTGAAATCGCGTAAAAAATATTTATAGCGAATATTTCACAGACAGTATTCAGAGTTCAGTGCAACCAGAAACATTTAATCGTCAAATTTAACAAAACCTTTGGTGGAATTTTTTTTTAGCGCCACTAGACTAATACAAACAAAGAAAGTGCAATGTTCGAGCCGCTACAAGAGAAATTATTGCAAATATATCGCGAGCAAACAACGCTAGCAATTGGTTAATATAAGCGAAATTGTGCATACGCATAGTTTTATTTTTGTTTCATATACATATGTACATATAAATCAAGGGCAACCATTTATCTACTTATGAACTAATTAAAAAATGCCTACATTTTAGGTGCTGCTGCATTCTGCGCATTGTACTTGATTTTCGGCTATGGCGCTCAGTTGCTGTGCAACACGATCGGCGTTGCTTATCCTGCCTACATCTCTATTCATGCCATTGAGTCGAGTACAAAATTGGACGATACCAGATGGTTAATCTATTGGGTGACTTATGCCATATTGTCATTGATTGAATATTTCTCTGGCTTTTTGACCGCAGTCATACCATTTTACTGGTTATTAAAGGTGATTATTATGAGCACATAAATTACACTTTCATTGTGTATTAAATATAAAATGAAATTAATTGTTTTTTTTTTATTAATTTCAGTGTGCCTTCCTTATTTGGTGTATGCTGCCCATTGAAAGAAACGGTTCTTTCGTCATCTATCACAGCGTTGTACGTCCATATTTTCTGAAACATCACCGAGGTAAATTTATTTAATAATAATATTACTCAAACAACACAAGCGCATGAAAATAAGCGAAAACCTATATACATAACTATGTTTTATGAATTTAGATTTGGGTTTATTAAGTATTTATTGTTTATTTTCCCTTAATTTTTTATTTATCTTTTGAATTTGTATTTTGTAATTAATTGATTTCTCTATTATTTATTAACCTACAGTTTTGGCTTTATAATACACATATTCATATTAAATATTAATCTTAACGTTTCTGCAAAATGCCTAAGCATGTATTATAAATATTTATGTTTAATTTTCCAGCTGCAGATGAATTCATTGATAAGGTGGCAGCTAAAGCAAAGGATTCGATTCACAGCATTACTAAACAAGATTAAATGTCGTTGGGCTATGTATTTTATTACCTATTACTGAGAGCGATGGCATTTCATCGAAAACGTAAAAAATAATGTAAAATCAACAGCAACATCAATTCTTGGATAGTGCAAAAAGAACAAAGTATGGAAAAAATAACAGTAAACACAAAGTTCAATGGCATAGTATAAACGTATTCAACAACACCTAAAATCTTTTAAGGTATCGTCGGATTACTCAGTCCACATTTTTTAAGTAATAAACTAAAAACAGAAATTTAGAGTGTAGCACTTAGCATTTTTTGGTAAATTTTGAGCACACAACTAGCATATATAATCATTTGAAACAAGTGTGAAATGGATATATCAATATTTTCAATTCAAGAAAAAACACCTTACTATTGAAAAAAGATTTTTAAAACATAATACACATACAAATGTGAGTTGATAATTGTTGATACTAGCATTTTGCACCAATCCAAAAAAAGCTTACTCGTTGCTTTTAAAATTTTTATTGTATTTAAATTGAAATATTGAACTTTTATTGTAAAAAAAAAGAAAGAAAATTAGGAACATTAAATGTTTTTTTTTGGCTTTATTGCTTGATCAAATAAAACAATGTAATAAAAAACTTGTTAATATATATAAATGAAACATTCTGTTCTTGGTAAGCAGGTTTGTAATCCAAAAATGTTTATACATTCATTGTTAAACCAAAACATTGCTATATACCTAAAGCAATCTATCATGCAGCTACGGGATCTTTTCCGTCGGTTTCTTCTCCTCGACCTACTTTTTGCCTGTTTCTCCACGCGGTCATATAAGTGCGCGGATGAATGGGTAGGAAACCAGCAATGCCAAGTAATTCTGCTGCTGGTGTGGACAAATGTGCTCCACGACCCAACCAATAGCGTATACGTTCAAAATTGAAAGAAACCAAACGTTCTTTTTGAACATTTGGCATTGGGTCATAGGTGCCAACTTGTTCTATTACTGGTTGATGTTGATTTTTTCGCCGCTATAAATAATGTTAATTTAATATAAAAAAAAGAAACAAATATGTAATGATTCTACACACCTCCATAACAACGATGTGATAGAAGGGTCGATTGGTGCAACCTAAGCGAACAAAGCGAATAATTTTAGCCGAATTTTTATAATAACGGCCAATACCACTAGCGGGAGTGAGCGACATTTTCCCCACTTTTTTGAAATAAATTTATACTTTCAGTTAAAAACCTAAATGGGAAAATGTATTACGAAAACACTACCGAAATTTATAACATGGAATAAGAGTAATTTTGACAATTAAATCAGCTGAGTTGTCACAGGTTGCCGTATGAGATACTAATATTTCTTGCGGTTACTCAAGGCGAAGAACGAATATGAATTTATTCATACAGGTTCTTTGCTATTATATCGAATGTAAATATTACTATTAAAAATATCGATTATTATATGTTACATATATTTTTGTGAACAATAATAATGTCTACTGCTTAAGCATTTGCGTAAATCTGGAAAAATAGTATAATCACTGAAGAATAAAAAATTTTATGATTTCCATTTGTTTGCTCTTTTCGTACAGACTGTATTCAGTGTTTGACCATTATTAGTAAATAGTGGCAACGCGGACTTTCTTTAGAAGAAGACGGCACTTTTGCAGGTACGGTGGTTTTGCTCCGTATATTTCAGCATTTTATTAGTAAAATATTGGTGTTAAATTACTGTAATTAGTGAACAAAATGTGTGTTAAGTAGATTTTTATCAAATTGTATATGAAATTTGAAAATTAGTGTAAATACTTGGCTTAAAAATGGAAATGGAAATATTTAGGAGTCTGGCTATCACCACAAATTGATGAGAATTATATTTGGGGGAAGAAAGCGTACAAGTGAAGTGCTTATTCATCGTAATCTATTCATCCGAATATAAGTGCGAAAGAGAAATGAGTGCTTGTGCAATAGCGTTGAAATGGCGTCCTGTCGCATGAGCTTTATCCACATGGACCGGAAAAATTTCCGAATATGCATAAAATATGTATTGTAGATCTCACTTCAGCAGTGCGTACTTTATGTGTATTTTCAAAAGCGGAGGTGTTAAATTTAAAGGTTTAGGGCGCTAAAAATTAATACCTAGTTGAGGAAACCTTCTATGAAGTACTCCATTTTGTTCATAATTTTTTTTCTATTGTAATTTATTTGACTCGGGTTATTTGCCTTTGCCGTCTGTTTTCTGGAAAAAAAGCGTCGGAAAATATGGTTATTCTCTCTTTTCCTCCCACACATATTAATAATGTGTAGATATGGCATTTCACTCTTGCGTTAGTAAAGAAGCGGGTGTGATAGCTAGTGGATAAGGGTTGCCGGTTGTCTTAGTCAGTTTTGTTTATTTCCTTTGCTGAGCTCGTCCAACTAGATCCAAACAAAATATTAATATTTTAACAGCGTTTTTTGATTTCATGACGGGTCTTAAGGCGACGAATATTTTTTTCTTCCAAAATTCTCCCAATCGTCAATTATAAATAGTAAGAAAAAGAGTTACCGCTTCGGATTGATAAGGAGGAGACTTTTCAGTAAGTTGGAAAAGGACGAATAGGTTATAGAACAAATGGGATAGCGAATGTTCTCTCGTCTTATGTTCCCGAATAAAATATAATTAGGGAAGAATTGCCGAAGTACCCATGGTTACCAGCGACTTTTGAAAGTAATTTTTCATGAAAATTGACATTTAATTGTTAAGATTCTATTATTTTTCTTCTTTCCTTCAAGCATATTTTTGTTTTAATAATATCGTTAGCATTTTGTTTTTTTTTTATTACCTATTTTCAATATGAAACGGTATATTTGTGGTTTTAAAATATTTAATTTCTGCAATATATTTTGTGAGTAGGCTGGCAACAGCGTGTCAAGCTGAAATTTTATAAATCAATTTCTTGTGTATGCAATTAGTGTATTTTACGCTCATTTAAAGGTAAAATTTTCAAAATAAGCGATTGTTGTAAATTTATTTATTACTTTGAGAATAACACATGACTGTGTCGGGCTCAATATTTATATTAAACTCAATACAAAAAGTTATAATAAAATGGAATTTTATTAAAGTAAAAAGAGGTGTGTGGCACGAAAGGCTCATGCGGTGTATTTCAGAGAAAAATCGAAAACATTTTGCGAAGAAATCTACCTTAGTTAGTAAAAGACCGAAAGAGGAGTAAGAAACATGTGGACATAAGTTTTTAAGCGGCATATTTTACGAGGAATAGAAATGGTATTTGCTTCTATGCGTCTAGTTGAGAATTGTCAATTTTATGCCGGCGCCGAAGTTTGGTAGTTTCGGTGCGGTTCGACATAGGGACAACGTCGGCAGCGGCAGCGGCAGCGACTCTTGAATGAGACATTGAACTACACGCGCTATTATTATTTGTCATATTAGTTCTTCGCAATAGCTTTGTCAAACACCCGCTTAATTTGACAACATTTACTTAATTTTATTGTGATAAAACTTTTAATTACACGTATGGAAAGAGTTTGAGCAGTTAAATTCGTATTGTTCTTATGATAGAACCATAATCCAGAAAATATTTTTTCTTCATTAATTTTATTTATAGCTTTTACATTTTGGTTATGTTTCTTTTTACCATATACATAGTGTATAAGTGCACATTGATTATAACAAAAAAAATCATATTTATTTGAATTTTTTGAAAATGAAAGTTTCCGTAAAGAAAAATATTAGTTTATGGTGAAAGATATTTAGGTCAAAAGAAGAAGATACAGAATATTTTGTATTTTCCTTGCCCTAGACCGACTCTAAATATGCATATATACATAATTTATATTTTCAAGCTTTCCAATTTGCTTAAAAATTTTCTTTGTTTAAATGTACATTAATGAAAAATATTTTTACTCTTAAAGCTTACTTGTAAATACAGTGTACATATAAATATGAGCACACAAAATCGGAATAGCGGCGGCGGTCGCAATCAAAAAAAATCAAATTCAGGCAGTGGAGGTGGCGGAGGTGGAGATTCTGCCATACAGACATCAACTAAGAAAACAGATGTCTCAAAAACAGAAAAGGAAAAATCTCATCCAAAGGTAAGTCGTGCATAATAAACAGTAACAATTTTGGATTTTTAAAATGTTTATTTTTATTTTTTTATTTTTAGCCAACTGCTGAACAATTACGTATTGCCCAGATTACCAATAGTAACACATCAGAAGATCCGCAAATGCGCGAAAAAGTAGCCACACTAATTGAGATGACTCAACGTTCCGAAGAGGAAGTATGTTGTGCATTATATGAATGCGATAATGATCTGGAGCGTGCAGTAGTATATCTCTTAGAAACCCTTCCTGTGGTATGTACATACATATATACATGTATATAATCACATAATAAATATATTTATCACATGTTATAAAAAAAAAAAATAAAAAAACAGGGAGCTTTTGAGACTTCTTCAAAGAAGAAAAAGAACAAAGCTGCAAGTGCCGGTCAAGAGAACGCAGGTGGCGACGGAGAATGGACTGATACCAATGCAAACACGGACAGACGTGAAAAATCACGTAACAGGAGCAGTAACCGAGGTGGACGTGGTGGCACTGACAGTCGAGGATGTAAGAATTTTTTACAATATGTGCATAAATTAAAATAGTAATAAATAAATTTCTTACATTTTTGTAGGGCGTGGCAGAGAGGCCCGTGAAAACGAACGTAATTTACGTGATACACGGGGCGGTGATGATCGCAATGACAACTATCGGCGTAGGGAAGGTGGTGGAGGCGGCGGTGGTGGCGGTGGTCGCAGCGGTGGTGGCCGAGGTGGTGGTTATGCAGGTCGTGGCGGTCGCGGTGGTGGTCGATTCGGTGCTGGCGGACGTGGCACAGGGGGTCGTGGTGAAAGAAGCTACAATTCCCGTTCTGGCACCAATGAAGATCATCAAGAGGTAGAGTTATGGGACAATACCATTGCTCAGAATGCTGAAAAACAGCAGCAGCAAATACAAGATGACGCCTGGGGTGATTGGGATAATGAGGAATATGTGGGTTCGCTTAAAGACAGCAAAGTATTTACGACAAGCAATCTACCTAATCAGACTGCGGCAAGTGTAGTTAGCGGTGGTGTCGGTAGTGTGAGCGTTGTAAGTAGCGGTACAAGTGAGTTGTCAGCGCCTCCTGGCTTAGAGCACCACTTGGGCTCGTCAAATCTGGTGGGCAGTGCAACATCACCACAGCAACAAGGATCTCATTTGAATTCACTTGTTGGAAATTCAGTCGGTGTGACAGGTGGAAGTCCGTCTGTTGGTGGCAGCACCAGTTTGAACGACGATAGTTCACCTGTAAATTCCGCGGTTGTGCAATCAGCCTCCGTGGCTACAACACCTATGATGCAGTATAGTGCAGCAGTGGCTAGCTCGCAATTACCCCAATCTCAACCGCTGACGCCTCAACAGCAACAGCAGTCGTCTGTCGTCCCTGGTTCAAATAGTTTGGCTGCAACGGCACTTAGCAGCTCGGCCTATGGCAGTGCAGTGGATACATTTTCAAATGCAGCAACCGCTGCTGCAAACTTAGTACAACAAGTACAACAGCAGCAACAGCAGCAGCAGCCACAAACGCAAATTAAAGCTTCGGCCACACTATCCGCCGAGCAATCTCAGTATTTCAATTCTTTAACATCGCAAAATGCTGCGGCAGCGGCGGCAGTGCAACAACCATTACAGCAACAACAGCTGGCATCGACGTACGCACAAAATGCTGCTGTACAATATCCAACATCATACGCTAACGTATTCGGTTCAGGTGCAGCAGGGACCACAGCCGCAACAGCTGGTCTCAATATTGCTGGTGCTGATCAGTCACAATTGGCGGGTGGTGTGCAACAGCCGCAAGTTCGGAGGGCACGTGCCAAATTGCCGCCGCCTTCGAAGGTATTTCAGATGGCAAAATTTAGTAGGGAAGCATAAATGTATAATACAAATTTTTAATTTTCTTATAGATACCATCGACTGCAGTCGAAATGCCTGGTGACACGTTGAACAACATTGGTTATTTGGATGTGCAATTTGGTGGTCTAGATTTCGGCACTGAAGATACCTTCGACGCTTTGCCGGAAAAGTTTGGTGCCGCAGTGACAATTGATGGTCAACAACAACAGCAACAGCAAACACAGTCGCAACAGCAACTGGTACAATCACAGCAGGATGTTGCTAATGACTATCAAAGTAAGTCTAATGTGCAACAACAACAAGCAACATTGTCGGCTGGACTACAAAGTGCACAACTTGTAAGTAAATACATATTTTAGTTACGTTTATCTATATGTACAACAATAACTATTGTGCAGAGTGATGCTTTATCGAGTGGTTACTCACAGCGTGGCACAGCAGCTGTGCAACAACAACAACAGCAGCAAGTTGTTAGCGGTGGTAGTGGTGTTGGCGTAGGCGTTGGTGGTGGAAACGCATCGGTCGGTGGCGCATCCAATCACTCATTGGATTTGACTAAGAGCGATCCATACGGTCAGACACAGAGTGCAACGAATTCGGCTGGTGGTTATCAAGCGAGCGCCTATCAAACGAGTGCGTCTGTAGCTAACAAGACTGCGAATGCCTATCAGCCATCCGCTGCTGGGCAGGTTTACAATAGCAGTAGTTATGCCAATGTGCAGGTAGGTTATAAATCATAAACTTAATATATACTCTACATTAAAATGTTATTCATACATATAAATATAATGTTGCTAATGTGTTTTTGTTTCATATTATTGTTATTTTTTTTTTTTTAGTCATCTGTTGCAAATTCATACCAACCGCAATCGTATGGTTCGTATCAACAGAATTCGATGAATTCCTACCAACAACAAGCGCAACAGTCGGCAGTTAATGCACAGACAGCATCTAATTCGGTAACTGGTGGTGCTGTAAATGTGGGCAGCAGTGGTAATGCGGCACAAAACATTCCCGTAGTTGGTGGCAGCGGTGGTAACAGTAGTGCAAAGTGAGTGGCAGAAAATATTTAAATTTTTTTTCCTCCTAACAATCTGTTTCGTTCCGTCTGCAATTAAATTAAAATATGTTGAGTTTTATCATCATTACTTTTTATTGGGATCTAAGCAAATAATTATTTTATTTTTGGTTTGCAAATTTTGTTATAATTTATACTTATTGAATTGATTTTTTACTGTTATATATTTGAATTAATCATTTGCCTTTTAACAATAATTCTCCCTAACCAAAAAATTCTTACTTTCTTCCCGCCCGCCTGCAAATCCATTCAATATCTTTGGCTTTAATGCTAAAAAATTATTGTTGACAATTATAATCTAACAACAAAAACAACTACCTAGTAGCAATACAAATACTGGATATTTGTCATCGGGATACCCAACACAACAAAGTGCATACCAGTCCAGCCAAAGTGTTTACGGTGGAACTGGTCTCTCAAATAGCACAGGGTAAGTAGATATCTCAATATACTGTAACTTTGAAACAACATTTTAATTCACATGAAATTGAGGGTGAACGTATGATTTGGATTATACATACACATTACAAAAAAAAACATAAATTTGTTAAAGTCTGACTCAGGTAGAGATTTTTTTTTCTTTTAATATATGTATTTGAATGACCACAAATTTGAATTCACAAATATCATATGAGTCCATAATGCAATTTTATTGCCAATAATTTTTACTGCTCATGAAAATGCAATTAAATTTTTTTTTGAATGATTTTTATTTGTTAATGCTGGAAAAGTTATTATTTTGAATATGCTTGAAAACTAACACAGATTATCATAATTCCGTTACTTTTTTGTTATTGCATAGGTTCGCCGGTAGCACAAATACTTCATCCTCTCAATACAGTAACTTTAGTACAAGTGCTAAATTGAAGGATACGGCAACGGCGTCTAGTGGTTCACATTACGAAAGGTAAGTACGGAGAGAGAGAGAGAGCGAGGGGAGATAAATAGATAGTTTTATTTGAATTATTTGTTTGATTGAATGACTTATTGCTTGATTAGTAGATGAATTGATTGATTATGTTTAATATACTAATAACTTTTATTTACAAATATTGCTAATCAATTATAAATTTTGTAATAATTTCAAATGAGATATCCTAATCAAATACATACATATGTATATAATACTGTATAAACAAATTGCTCTTTCCAGTGTCACATCGAGTAACGTGGTCAGCAGTAGCGGTGGCGCAACTGGCAACTCGGCTGTATCTGCAAACTCTTCGGCAAATCAGTCTTCGTCGGTCAACTGTAGGCATTGTTGAATTGCTGCAAATAGTCTTAAATTTTTTTTAATTATTAATTTTTTTTTTTAATAATAATTTTTAATTACTCTTTGCCGTTGTAGCCAACAATTCGAATGTGAATAGCAACAGCTCGAGCGCGGTGGCCAATAACAGCGTAAGCAGTGCTAGTAATAATAATGTGAATACCAATAGTAGCAGTACAGTTAGCGGCGGTGGCAGCGGTGCTGGCGGCAGTGGTAGTAGCGGTGGTGGCGCCGGTGGCGCTGGTAGCAGTAGCAGTAGCAACCCCGCATCTGTGGTGGCCGCAGCAGCCGCAGCCGTTTCATCGTCATCATCATCAAATAAGACAAGCGCTAGCGGAATGGTGCCCAACATCCAAATGGTTAGTCAATATATTCAGACTGGATTGCCATACTATCAGCAACCAGTATATTCTTACGAGGAAATACAAATGATGCAACAGAGAGTGCCACACGTGGTGAGTTCACATATGGAGAAAATGCAAAACATAGAAAAAAATTAAAAAAAAAAAAAACAAAAAAAAATTCAATCTAATCAATGAAAATTTCACAAGCATCCATACAATAAAAATCCATTAATCAAAAATTAAAAGCAAAACAAATGCAATTAGGTGTTAAATCATTAATAATTTTTGTTCATAAAATTGCATATATAATATTATATATATATATACATATATATTTTAACATATATTTAATTAGTCTTCCTATTCCATATTTTTTACATATGTAAAATGTATGTTTGTTGTGGTCTAATCGCATACAAAATTCATTACCATCAATCTGCACCTCCTAACAAAACAAAAAGTAACAACTTGTTGTTCATTTCCAAAAATTAAAAAAAAAAAATGTGTACCTTTCCTCCGAATATTTTTTTCTCCAAAATTGTATGTAAGCATTAAAAAATTAGATTGGAATCACATAGAGAAAATATTTTTGGTGAAATTAAAATGACTAAAAACATGGATATATTTGCAAATAAATTTAACTAATAACAAAAATGCTAACTAAAAAAAGAGAAATCAAACTTACTACTGATCCTATATGTGTGTTCATGAAACAAACAATTGGCTATTAAATTTTACACAGCCGGCGTTGAAGCTGGTTTATATGAAAAAAAACAAAACTCTCTAACGTGTGTGTATAACCACTTTAACGATCAAAATTAATTTATTTACCTATAAAAAAATTATGGTTGCATGGTTTACACACGTCCTTAATGTGCTCACATATAATTTTAATTCAATTAAATTTTATTTTAATTTATTTATTTATTATTTTTTTTGTCAACCTCTGGGTGAAAGCTACTTATTTAATTTTTTTTCTAATTCCATTCATTTTTTCAGTTTTCCTTCTCCCATATGATTTAAGTGAATCTAATACTCCATCCCAATGCTTATTTGTAATATTTTACCTTTATTGCATCGCACTTTCTTTTGTAAATATTAAAATATTGCATGAAATGAAACGAAGCGACGTATCACAAATAAATTTATATAACACAGATGTTTTTGTATTTGTTAGTTTTTCAATACCGGCAAATACAGTTGGTTCAAATACTCTGCTCATACATAGCAGTTTCTATTTATTCTATAGTAAATGTTTAAAATGATTTTTACATAGACAATCGTTTTGAAAGGTAATAATTAATTTTATGAAATTGATAAAATAAATAAACGTCGCTTCGTTTCATGTATCATGCTTGTGTTTTCGTACATGAATCATTTTGTGTTTTTCTACCAAAAAAGAAAAAAGAAAGTGAATCGTAAATACACTTAAAACAAAATTTTGTCTACCTTCGTATTACAGCAGGGCTATTACGATCTCAACTACACTCCGACTAGTTTGGGCACTGGTCGCGACAATTTGGGTTCTGTAGCATATTCCACAATGACTGATGCACGTTTCACAAGAACGGACAATAATTCTAGCCCAGTTAGCAATGTAAGTGCAAATTTATATTTCGATGCATCATAAAATAATAAAAATTTGTTCTAAATATGAATATAAATTTTTTTTAAATTTTAATTTTTTTTTTTTTTTTTTTTTTTTTTTAATTTCTTCTTAATTTTTTTTTTTTTTTTTTTTTTTGTTAAAAATAAACACATTCTCATGCAGGTGTCAAGTACAATGTCGCAGCAAGCAGGCTCTGGCGGTCACATGCTAAATGTTCCTTACTACTTCTATAGTGGAAATGTTATGCCTGGCAGTTTTCAATATGGCACACCAGCTATCTATCCGGTAAGTTGGAAGTGTCTGATTAACAATTTACTTTTTTTTTATTAATATTAATATTATTATTATTATTTTTATTTTTATCTACTTGTAGCAGCAAATTCCAGCTGCAAATACAGCGTCTGGTGGCCAATTTCCAAAGCCTTCATACAGCACTGGTTACGGTTCGACCAGCTACGATACCTTGTCGCAAGCTTCACAGGATTATACAAAGGGCGCCTATCCGTCCAGCGTGAATCAGCAGACAAAATCGCAAAATGTCGCTAATCCGCCACAAACTGGTACAACATCAGACATAACATCGTCCATGTATAGTAAGGGACACGTTGCGCTGAATAAAGTCAATGTAAGTTAACCATGAACAAATTTTCAATAATTTTCCTCATTACATTCTTAATTAAAATTTCCTTTTTTCTTACCAGTCATATGAGAAACAAAATTTCCATTCGGGCACTCCTCCACCATTCAATATGCCGAACACGCAAACAGCTGGTGGTACCTCAGCTCAGCCCTACGGCATGTATTTGCCAATGCCGACAGCCGGTCATCATAATATGATTCATCAACCAATCCATCAGGTAATGTCATTAGCATAGTTAATATCTGAAACAATAAATTATTTAATTAGTTATACAAAACTTGCACACTCATAACATCAAACTAAGCTAATATGAAACGTAATTGATTTTATGCAAATTGCAAATTTTATCACAGACTCCCTGTACCCCCAGCAAAAATACAAATTACATTTTTATGTTCATAACTTTAATTATTAACTATTGTTAGCCATTAAATTAAAAAAAAAAACAAAAAAAAATACGCACACACATTCATAAGTACACTTGCTAACTGCAAATTATGATTTCAAAGTCATGATGGGATTTCAAAAAGTGCTAACATTTTTTTTTTCTTTTTTTTTCGTGAGCTAAAACCTTTTAATAGCATACACTTAATTTGAATATATTTAAGAAAATTCGATTATAAAGGCAAACAAAAATATTTTGTGGGTTAGTCTAGTCGCTTGTCCAAAAATATATAAAAAATTAATTTCTCCGCCGGAGGACCGCCAGCTCCTCGGCAGGCAATATCGAAACCTCTAAGACGAAATAAAAGCTCCTCATAAAAAGAGGGAGACAGCTGCTTAGAATGAACTGTACGAATTTTCATTTGAGAATCATAAACTCCCTGTATTGAAAAAGCTAACCTTGATGTATGCTTCAATCCGGACTATTTTAAAAAAGCCAAAAAGAAAAGAATACCAACTTGTTTTGCATTCGAATTAGTACTAGTACAGGTTTAGTTTAGTTAGAAAATTCTATCACTAAGCTCATAACTTTCATTTAAAAAACAGGAAACTGCAATTTAATTTCAGAAACTGATATAATTTAGAAACGTTACATTATTAAGAGATATGTATATTCGGAATAATATTTAAGCATTTTTAAGTAGATAATTTAACGTGCAATACAAAGTTATAAGGCCATAACACCAATATAATTATTTTGAATTTAAAATATTACATTTTCTAATTTAAAATTGCTGCACAAAAAAATATATTTCTCAAAAATAAAAAAAACTATATATTTATTTTTCCAAAATTTAAAAAAATATATATATATATATTTCTCCAAATTTAAAGAAAAAAAATATTTCTAAAAAATTTAACAAAAAAAGATTAAAACAAGATTAAAAAATTAAAAAAAAAAAAGAGATTAAAATATTTCTCAGAAATTTAAAAAAAAGAAATATTCCTCAAAAATTAAAAAAAAAATTACTTCTCAAGAATTAAAAAAAATATATATGTTAAAAACTTAAAAAAAATTATTTCTCAAAAATTAAAATATATATATATATATATATATTTCTCCAAAATTAAAATATATATATATATTTCTCCAAATTTAAAATATATATACATATATATTTCTCAAAAATTTAAAAAAGAGATATTTTTTAAAAATTAAAAAAAATTATTTCTCATAAAATTACTTCTCAAAAATTAAAAAAAAAAATATTTCTTTAAAACTTAAAACAAAAGTTATTTCTCAAAAATTTAAAATAAAAAATTATTTCTCATAAATTTAAATTAAAAAATTATTTCTCAAAAATTGAAAAAATTAATTTGTATCTCAAAAATTAAAAAAATTATTTGTTTCTCAAAAATGAAAAAAAAAAAATTATTTCACAAAAATTTAAAAAAATATATTTTTCAAAAATTAAAAAAAAATTATTCCTCAAAAATTAAAAAGAAACTCTTTTTTTTTTTTTAAATTAAAAAAAAAATTATATAAAACAGTAAAACAAAGAGTGTAAATAAATATGTATATGACAATATTGTATTTTGTTCGGGCGGCACATATTTAGTTTCTTTTAAAATTAAATTGCCAGTTAAAACAACGGTTTTTAGATTTGGAACTGAACTAAAGTTTAGAAATATATTTGACAACCACTGCAGCAAAATAATTCGTTTCAAAATAAAAATCTACCGACGCATTGTAAAAGTGGTGTATAGAATTTTACCCAAGAAATGCTATTAACTGAGTTGAAAACTGCTAAAATTGTACATTAAAGCAATTATTCTTTATAAGCTAAAAAAAAATATGACACAAATTGGATAAATCAAATCGCGAGGGTTTTTTTTCTTTTAATAAGGAAAAGGAATTATTTCAAGATTTCTTTAAAAATATGAAAACTGAAATAAGTTCCACAAAAAGTAGCTTGATTGTTCTCGTTTTTTCGCACACAAATTCCCCATGCACATCTAAATTGTGTACAGTTTTTTTATTACATATGCATACATATATACATACATACATACATATATTTTATGATATTAATAATTTTGCTGTTACATTATTTTTAATTTATCTTTGCCCAGTGTAAGTTGTTACAAGTATAAAACGGAAGTTATTCAATGCTAATCTTAAGCTAATATTTAATTTAATTAAAAAAAAGAAAGTTTTTTAATATTTAAAAAAAAAAAACCAAAAATTTTCATATATACTAAACTTCTCTAACGAAACATTACACTAAATGGTTCAATACTACCAAGGAATTCATTGGCATAATTAAATACAGAAAAAAATATCTCTAATCCAGGGTTATCCATTTCATGGTTTCAAAAGTACAAAGTTCTATTTTGACATTTGACAAGTTTAACTGTCAAACCAAACATGTTTTGTTTCAGTTTAAAGTCAGGCACTGATGAAAATTGTTAAAACCTACTACAAAAGTGATAATTCAAGGACCTGAACGATGAATAGTCTGTTAGATGTTAGATGCACATCCAACCACCTTCTCTTTTTGGTCCGATCCCTTGGGAACAGCACGTTTCCTGGGCCTACCGTTAGATGACCTCGGTGAGTTCGATTGATTTTAAACCTGTCCCTAAGCGGGGTTAACGTAGCCGCTACAACAACAACAACAACAAAACATTAATAATCTCTTCTGTTCAGTTATATCTTAAAGATTCGCGCTTTAATCGTCCAACTACTCAAACAATCGCTAAAACGGTTGCATATCTTGTATGGCCAGTGCATCATTGCTTTGCTCGTTCCACCTCAAATATCGTCATTGTCATAGATAGATAAATCGGGAGGATATACAACGCGACCGGTGGTATATTGTGCCCTGCGATTGCTTCACATTATTTGAAATAAAACCTAGCAGACTAGAGAGGTTTCTTGCTTTGATGTCTCAGGCTTCTTCTAGCAACAGCTTCGCATTCAAATAGCTCACAGAAGCGACAGCTCTTTCCAAGTCTATACGCATATGTTTACACATTTTACAATGGCCTGTGAAAAATTCTGTGGGTATTCTAAAATTGTTCTTACTTGGTAATATTATGTCTTCAAATTTGTTGGTATTGTAGCCGTTGGCCGTCCATAAGTTTTCTTATTATCTCATGCCGTCACTAGTGTACCAGTACCGGTTTCTTATGCTCATTTCTTCCCTTCCTATCTCCTCTTAAATTGAGTGATGAGGCCTCAAAGGGAACAGGGGCTCTGGTCCCGTAGGCGAGATTGAGGTCGCTTGACTTGCAAGGAACCCAGATGAACCTAACTTTGCTTTGTTCGCCTACTTTATTAAGATTCTTGGGAGATATCCTTTCTTATATAATATTTCTGTTACTATTTTAAGCGAAATGTGTCTATTTCTCGGCATTCTTGAGAGCTGGAACTTTTTTGCGGCAAATTATGGCGTCGGAATTACACCTACAACCATATAAAGTTCAGCTCACACAACAACTGAAGCCAGCAGAGCATTCACAATGCTGTAAATACGATTGGGTGCTTGAACAACTAGCAGTTGGGGGCGATATTTCGAACAAATTTTCTTTAGCAACGAGAGGCAGCACATATCTCACATGTAATTAGCAAAATTGTCGCATTTGGGACACCGGAAATCCTAAATTCGTTGAAGGAAGGCAATTACAAACAAGAAAAAATTTTCTGCCTCGTGCGCTCTTTCTTCCGCAGGAGTGTAAGGACCCTACTTCTGTGAAAACGACAACGCCGAGACTGTCACTGTCAATTCGGAACGTTATGGTCGTATGATAACTGACTTTTTTTTATTGTTCCGCTATTGAATAACACGACTTGAACAATATGTGGTTTCAATAAGATGGTGCCACATGCCACACAACCGTACGAATATAGCTTTATTGCGAGAGAAATTTCTCGGCCGCTTCATCTTTTATCTTGACGATGTCTATTGGCCAACGTGATCGTGCAATTTAACACCGTTGAATTTTTTTTGTGGAACTACGCACTTGAAAACAATTAACGTACGTCATGTTATGGCTTCCCTCAAAGGGTTCAAAGTTTTTGAAAAAAAAAAAAAAATATTTTATATGTATTTTATTTATGTTTATTTTTTGAAACCTCAAAATGGATGACCCTTTACAATTTCCCATCAACAATCATCACTGAAAATCCTAAACTTTAGATAAATAAATCGGTTTCAAAAATTATCAACTAAACCCCAAACCACAAGTAACCAATTTTTGTGCTAATTCTTTCATGTCATTGCATCATCATTTTATGATATAATAATATTAAATGAATTGTTATAGCACAAACAATTTAGTAGCTCTTTCTTCTAGTATACATACATAAATAAATGTGACAAGCTCAAACGTAGTGATACATACATACATACATATATGAATAATCGTAAAATATATGGCACACCATTTCCGTTTGTCTTCATCTTCACTGTGCCTCCTTCTAAGTACAGTAAATTAAAATTAAAGAGAAAAATTACCAAAAAAAAAAAAAAAACAAGAAGAAGAAAATTGCATGGAAAAAAACTTTTATTATTTTATTATTTCTTTTGGTTTTTTATGGGACAACATTAGATGGACGGCAGGATTCATAATTCATCCCGCCGGGTAAGTTTCTTAGTATATCCGTTATAAATATATTTAATATATACATACATACATACATATTATTCTTCATTAAATCTTTTACGCTTCTCTTATATACATATGTACTTATTTGTATATTTGAAAAAAAAAAAAAAAAAAACATTAAATATTTCTGTTAAATACAAATGTTTCAATTAATGAATACATACATACGTGTATCTCTCTTAAAACAATATAATCGTATCATAATGTACACGAAATTCATTTACTCTATAACTACTGGCAAAGTTAATTAAAAATAATCATATAATTCGGCAAAATTATAATTCCCGAAACATACATACATACATACATACATATATATTACACCTTAACTACACCGCATGTCTTGGGTATAAATTTTGAAATTTTTTAGCTAAATAAAATCAGGTTGGAAAACAAGACAATGTCATCTTTTGAAAAAATATTAGGTCTAGTAAAAAGTAATCCATTATATTTGCATTAAATTGAAGGCTTTATTTACAATAGTTAGAATTACCCGTTTAATGTCAAATATGCACCGTTTTTCTCAATAAATTGTTGTTATATCCTTCTTTCTATTGTCAAAAAATTGTTGCAATCAATCAATTTTGACAAGCTTCTCTTGAGAGGCCAATTCTTCACCATAGACAGTAACAGATAGTAAGCACTTGGTGTGAGTTTCGGTCTGTAAGGGGTATGCATAAGAACCGCCCAACCAAGCTCACGAAGCTTCTGACGAGTAGCTATCGATGTGTGTAATCTGGCGTTATCCTGCTGATGTCGTCCTTTAGGCGCTTCTGGGCAATTGCTTTGTTCAGACAGTCTAATTGTGGATGATTCCCATCCAATTCTAACAAAAAAAAAAAAAAACCTTCCTAGGTCACTATCCTGGTTTGGCTCCGTGTTCTTCGACCACATCCACCACAGTTTTCATTTGACGTTGCTGTCAGTGATCTACGATATTGTACTTTTCATCACCAGCCACCATCCGCTTCACAAAAGAAATTTGCTCCATGGGGGTTTTTTTTTACTCGTAAACTCAGGTGCCACCCATATATCGAGCTCCTTTGGGTATCCAGTCCAGTATTTTTCAAGTGGTTCGAAACTGTTTTTTTTTTTTTTGCAATATTTAGCTCCTGAAAATTCGAGATAATGATACCAAATGAGTTTTCAGGCAAGGTGACTCTTTATGTGACTTTTTTGACTTATTGCTGGAGTAAACAATACGAGCTATCGAGCTGAATGGAGAAGGTAGAATCTTCTACAACCGTGCCGTGAGTTCTGCTTTCTCCAGACTTGATAAAGAAGAAAAACGAATGGGTCTGGCGTTGAATGAGAGCAAGACGAAATATCTCTTGTCATCCGATGCGACTCAGCTCCCACGTCACTGGTGACAGTCATAACTTCGGGGTCGTAGATAATTTCGTTTATTTAGGGACCAGCAATAACACCAACAACAATGTCAGCGTTGAAATCCAACGCAGTATCACTCTTGCCAACAGGTCCTACTTTGGACTGAGTAGGCAATTGCAAAGTAAAATCCTCGGCGAACAAAAACCAAACTCCACAAGTCGCTCATTACACCGGTCCTACTGTATGACGCAGAAGCAGAAGCGTGGACGATGCCAAAATCTGATGAGTCAACTGGCTCTAGACAGCGAAAAGAAAAGATGAATGGCGCGCTAATATTGATTCGGTCAGACACGAAATTTTCGGCAATTGGCTTTCCACGCCCTGGACCATTTTTTACATCAAAATGACCGGTACGAAATCGTCCAAACCAAAAGTGTGGTTGACAGTATTAGGACCATAAAAACTATTCACATTTTCAGCGGACTGTGCATGACTTGTGTTTTCTCCTTTATCGAAAAAGAATTGTAGAATACTTGTGCTGAAACATATCACCTTCCGCGCTATCTATGCGATAAACTTCAATTGCATTTCTTGCGTGGCGTGTGAAAGGTGATATGTCGGCCGATAAGATTCTTCCTTTTTGGCTGGTTTTCTCGGGTAAAGTAGCGGGAGCACTCTACCCATTTTTCACATATCGGGTAAGATAGTTTGCTTCCGCTATTCCTCACTGGTATTTGGCTGTTATCATAGAGGGTGGGCCATTTGTAACTTCGTTTTGTCTACCGAAGGGGAGTGTAAAAGTTGTAAAAAGTGGGCAAAAATAGCGGACGCATTTCTTTGGGATCGATGAGGCACGATCACTAAATGAAATTTCCACTCGGTCATGGCGTCTCTTCGGGCTAGGCAATAAAATGACTGAGGTGCAAAGCTTAGTTGCCTTAAGGCAGAGGTTGCCAGGCCGTAAGAGTTCTTCCCATTTTTCCGCTTGAGTTGGTCGCCTATTTGCCGAGTCATCTTGTTCATATTCCTTACTCCCTTAAGTCAATGACGGAGAGAGGACTTGACTGACGTAGACTCGCGTCTGGGAATAGGGAATAGGGAAAAGAGGGCGGACTTACTCGATTCGGCCTGCTGGAATGAAGCAAGCGGCAGCATCCATGACTAGTTTGCTGAAAGTACTTTCACATACGGTGACGTCAGCTAGAGTCTAGAATATGGAAATCGTTGCAAGCATTCTTTGTAAATTCAGTGTAGCCGGGCCACTGAAGTCGCGATGCCTGTCAAACGTGGAAATTATAGCCAAATGATGCGATGCTGTCCCTAGGTCCCTAAGGAAAGCTGTTAATCGGACAAGAATTCCAAATAGTCAGTGTGTTCGGCCATTTCATTAATGCCGAAGATCGTGGTGCGTTTTAAAATTTCCCGCAACCAAATGGTTTTTCACCTTGTGAGTACCTATATGAGGACGATGTGCAACTGGGCAACATCTGGCCACAAAGCAGTGCCCTAAGATTGTAGGGTAATATCCCTGAAGTCGATGAGACGATACTGCACGGTGCAAGGCTGGATGAACTCCAGACTTGCATCTTTTTCTCGTCGTATGTGCGGTGTTGTGAATGGTTAGTTGGCTTCAGTTGTTGTGTGAGCTGGGCTTTATATGGATGTAAGCTGTATCCTAAGAAAGTCCCAACACTTGAGAACGTCGACACTTTCGGGTCTTAGGCTACACCTTCGCTTAGGCCTTAAAATATCTCCAACCGATCCGGTGTCTTAAAATTTCTTTAAAATTTTACGAATAGCTTGAGTATTTTGACGAATATGTACAACGAAATCTCCGCTTAAAGCACGAATCTTCACGATGTAACTGAACAGAACAGACTATTTATCGTTTGGATTCTTGCATTACCATTTTTGTAGGGGATTTTAACCATTTTAACGCGTTGTGTGATTATTAAGGGAAATATTATCATAAATTTTTGACTTTTAACTAAAACCGAATATGTTTGGTTTCGTAATTAATTTTGACAGCCGTCATAATGCAGCCCTGTTCTTTTAAAACTATGAAAACTATAACTCTATTGCTGCAACGACCCATCTAACATACCTTCCGTCCATAACAGCCGACTGGAAGAGCGAAATACATACACGAGTTATCGACGTTACTGAGAGCGGCGAAATGTTGTCAGCTGCCAGGGTGTGCGCACACTTCTGTTCGAATATAAACGCAAAATAATGATCTATAGTAACAAAAAATTAGTTCCGAATTTAGTTTTTATTTCTTTTAAAAGAAACTACCTATGCTGGGAACCTTGTATAGCAACGAGAAATGAGCCGAGCCGGTTTTACGGATAAAATCAAATCGCAGTTGATCTCTGCGGGACAACCGTCAGTAACGGCATTGGCAAGCGGTGACAACCGTCAGTAACGGCATTGGCAAGCGGTGACAACTTTGTATTTACATGACGCTCTTATAAGATAGGTTGCTATGGGCGGAAGGTATGTTAGATTAGATGGATACTTACAGCATATATGCTAACCGACCCGGCTCAGACGATTTGAGCGGCCTTTCAGCTTTGTTTCTTCGAACGCCGCTATTCGGCAGGTGTTCTCCGCTTCTCTTACCTACACGTATGTAACGGTGCTGTGTACGCAGGTAGGTTATCTATACATTTGGTGAAGGTTAGAGCACGAATTAATCGACTTGAAAAATTAATGCTCAAACAAAAAAGTCTACAAACAAAATTAAAAGATTTTTTTTTGGACAGTTGTCAAAGGTTAATTGTGTTAGCAGATATTGAATTCAATTAAGAAAATGTATGTATCTTTTGTAAGACAAGAATTTTGATGTCAGACTGCAAGTCGAAAAAAGACGGCCTTTACTTTCCCCCCATCATTTTTCATATGACATGAACATTTGCATTCGAGTTGTTTAATGTGTTGTGTTGCATGCAGGATTTTTATTGCACTCATCAACAATGTAAATAAATTATGCATAGGCTTTAAATGAGTATAATAAAAAGAAAATGCATTGGCAATCATGTTTAACTAAATATTTGTTTGTAATACTAGTTTTCATGTTTAGCTAATCAGGTTGGCCACATATAATAATACACTGTACATATACATGCATACACACATAAATATACGATATACCCTTTAATAATGCAACACACGTACATACCTATCTATTTATTGTTTTAATTAGCTTTAGCCTTGCGTGTCTCGTTACTAAACATATTTTTACTGTTTTGTTGTTTTCTTTTTCTTATTTTACAGGATTCGAATAGCACGGGCCAGCGTCAGCAGACAAGTAGCCAATCGAAATCGGCCGCTAAACAAGGCTACTCTCCTTCGTATTGGACCGGACAGAATTGAGCGTGAGGTGAAAGCGACCACACACACAAACGCACTCTCACACATATATACACACACACACATTAAAGGCATATGTATAAATCATGTATATATGCAGAATATGAAACTCAATTCCGATTCCGATCCTGTATATATGCAGAATATGAAACTCAATTCCGATTCCGATTCTGATTTTGATTTATTAATAACAACATAATCCATTCAGCTCTAAAAATCGGTACCAGCTGCGAAGCTACCGCGTGCATATAACAGATACAACAACAACAACAACAACAACAACAACAACAACGACAACAACGGCACACACAAACAAAAACACCACGCATATAAATTTTTCATATTGTCTGTCTGTCTGCCTGTCTGGATGCGCCTGACGTACATACATACATACATCTGCTACTAAATGTCGACAAATTTGAATTCTGTATGTTCCACCAACCCGTCGTTCGTTGTTCCTGCAGATATTTCACTTTAAGATTAGTTTATATATTTGAGTATGTAACATATACTGTATCCACCAAACAACACAAAGCAAAGCATTCAAAACTAAGTTACAAAAGATAAACAAAAACATTATCCATATAAACATAGCGCGCCCTCTCCCCGCCCACCACACCCACGCACACACATATTATCCACATTCATGCATCCGTAATTAATTCACTCACTCACTTATACATAAATAAATGAATAAATAAAAAAATATTACAAAACTTATTGATGAAAGGATAAATATTATACATACATACATACATAGAATTCTATAACGAAAGCAAAGAGAGAGAGAGATAGAGAGAGAGAGAGTGGAAAGCAAGAGTGTGTGTGTGTGTGTGTTTAATAAGTAATGAAAATGTAGCGGTGAAAAAAATTAAGAAAGGCCACATAGACACGCCCACAAACATATATACACGCCAGAGTTGAAAGGAAGGGAAATATATACATACATAAATACAAATTAAAATAAAAAAATTTAAATATTGTAATCGGTTTAAACTTATATGTATAATTATAATAACCTTAATAATTAAATTAAATACAAAATACGAGTAAATCCAAAATAAACACAGCAAACGCATAGTTCATACGCATGCGCGGTGAAGTCGAAATTTAAATTTGATGTTTTTATTTTTATTATTATATTGGATAGTCAAATTGAATGAAAGTGGAAACTACTACTGCTAGACTTTAGTAGGATTGCCTTGTAGCTGAGAGCTGAGAGCAGAAAGAAGGGCTTTCTAAGATCTAATATTATGTTTAATAATCTCATTACGACTACTCCTTATGTGAATGCAAATTGCTTCCGTCATATGTTTTTAATGTGTTTTCAATTTCCGCTTACATTGTAAGAAGTGTAAAGAGAAAGTATAAAAAATGTAAGTACAAACCCAGCTACGAGAAAATGTTATTTTTATCCTTCTACTAATCTAAGGAGCTCAAATCAAAGGAAGTCGTTAGAGCTACTGTCACTGGCTAATACCAACAAAGAGATCATAATATTACAACGTTAGTTTAGCATCGGACTTTTTTAGGATAATGCTCGTTTTCTCCAGCATATCGTTTTCATACTCGCTTATAGGCTAACAATAGTAGAGCGAAACATTTATACTTGCGATCACCAAAATGTTTCTCAATTATTACGACCGTAAAAATGTTTAAAATTCTATGAATTCTTTTTGATGTGATAGAGTTTTTCTCCCTGCTACTACTTTTCACTATAGAATAAAAAGTAAATCCAGTTTTTAATTATATGTGTTTATTACTACTTTTTTTCGTACATACATACATGCATATGTATAAATGTGCACAGTATTTTCAGTTTTTCACAAATTCGTTTAAAAAGCTGCAAAGTAATTAATATCCCAAAATAAAACTGCAATCACAAAGAAAACTTATTTTATATATAGTTGAGATTAATTTTTGCATATATGTAGGCATATATTTAATTTTATTCCTTGTTTGTTAATGCAAATACTGCGATGTGTATATTGCGACATACAATCTTAACTATTACTGGCTGTGCAACAGCTTTGTAAAATCAGCATATGCCGATTCTAAATCGAACAGAAATTGTCGCACTTGACTTTCTGTTAATTCATCGGATGCCTGCATATCGTTTAATGTGCTTAACCATGTTTCAACTTTTTGTTTTGCCTCAAAATCCTTTGATATTAACGACAGACGATTCATATTATCCGCTAAATCTTTCACATCCGGCTGTAAAGCATCCATTGTGTTCATCTTCAAACGTAATTTATCCATGATGGTTATAAAAAGGGAAACAATTTCCGCAATACACTTTGATGTGTTACCCTTGTCGTCTTTTATTGTAATGGGTCTGTCTTCACGTATCCGCTCGAGTGCTGCGGGACAGTCTAAACGGAATTTCTTGACGAATGTGTCTATATTGGGATATTCATCACACTGTACTTGCTTGAAAGCGACCTTGTATTGTACCAAATATTTGGAGCATGCAGCAGTATATTCCTGTGGTGTGATGCAGTCACGGATATACGCCTTTTCCAGTTGTTGCAGCGTATTGATAATTGCATACAAATCGGCCATGTTATCATACTTTTCTCTTTCTCGTGCATTTCGATATAGTTTGACTTCCTCATATAATTCGGGACAATTTTCCTGCATTTTATGTATAATTAATTTATCTCCGCAATATTTTTCTTTTTTTTTTGGGTTTCTACACAAAGCAATAATGTAAACAGTTGTGGGAAATTTTCAACAGATGACGAATTATTCTGCTGATTTTCTTGTCAGCCATAATGACAATATGTGTGGTGAATACATGCAGTGGTGATTATATTTACGACTTAGTTCTTGACAGTGTTGCATCTTTTTTATTTTTTTTTTCCAAAATTATTTATGAATATTTAAAACAGTATGGGACCGGAAGTATTCTTTGCGATCTTTAATCTTTTCATTTTCAATAATTTAATAATTTCGTTTTAAAATCAATTAATGTCGAGTAGTGAACGCTGTGAACTTTAACACAAACACAAGTGTATAATCCACTGTGCAGGAATCCAGTTTAGCTAGAGGAATTTTTTTTTAATCATTTCTTATGTGTTATTTTTAAAATTCACATAACTTTAATCAACAAGTAAATATTAATATTATATACACTATGTCTCTCAGTGGGGTCATGATAACCTATCATCAAGATTAAAGATTGTGAGAAAATAGTAACAACTAATATAATGGTTCAATAAAAATACCTCTGCAATATTTTCGATTAGGGTTATCTACTAGCAAACTGCTGAAAAACAAATCGTCAATTTTTATTAGTTTCTACTTAAACGCAGTCATTGCTGTAGCTTCATTCTGTACAGTAAAATAAAAGCAATGTAAGAATTTTTTACGCTTAACGCTACGCCTTCTAAAGTGCCATTGAACAAAATGTTTAATAGTTTATAATAAACTGTTTTTTCGCTTCTGGTAAACAAATTGTTAGAGTTTCTTTAGCTAAATAGATACCTTCTCTTCACACATTTTTAACTATACTAATTTCATATACATAATTCGTGAGTTTCGGTATAATTTTTAATCAAAAAAGTTTTAGCTGTCTTTATAACTTTCCGAGATATAAATCTGACTAATCTGTATTAACAAGTCAAATAAAAAAAGAAAGCCTCGTTGGTGATAAGTAATCCTTACCTTATCTAAGTTTTACTGAAAATCGATTTGAATAAATACCGAAACTAAATCTTGGTTGTAGGAGTTAAACTGTTTAAATTTTTTTTACGAAAAATATGATATCGGAGAATTCTAAAGTAGAGGTAAGTATGTGTATATGGGCATGTATGTATTTAAATAAAATCATGGCATTTAGTGAACGTTATTGTGACAAAACCTGAAGGGCATTAATTCAATTCTAAAGTATTTATAAAAAAAATAATTGCCATTTTTTAATAATAAGTACGTTATATAACTACATATTAATTTTATTAAAGTATCTTTTCAATTATTATATTGTGTGTTTTTTAAAAAAGTTATTGAGTAAACAACGACTAAGCATTTCTAAATTCAGCATAATAGAATTTATTATTGCACAATAGAAGTATTTTCATTTATTAAATGTGGTTTGGCATTTTAAAATATAGTAGCTTGATCTACTAAACGATAGCCTTGACCGGTATAACTTTTTGGTGGGTAGATCACAAATAAACAAAGCTGCAGCAATGATAGTAAACAGCCCAAAAAGTTTGGTATCTATGAAACAAAAATTAATTAATTATTTGATTGTTGAAATAATAATGTGCAAATGGTTTGTACTAGGCTTAACATACCTGAATAAATGTATCTGATATGATGACACCATATATAACCCATTGAACAGACACGAGGAAAGTCATTGCAATCAATGGGAAGGGTAAACTTTCTGAATTTTTCATACGTATTACGTGAATTAACATTGTAAGTGGCGCCGCAAAGAAGCACACTGTTATAATACAGCAGATTAGACCTGAAAAAATATAAATAATTATTTTTTATATTTATAGTACATTTCATTAATTTTATATACCCATTAAACGAATTTTCTCCGCTTCTAATTCAATTGAATTAGTGTAGTACCAAACACCAAGTAGCATACATAAAACAATTCCAAATTGTCGCAAATATGATTTTTTGTTCACGGAGAAAATGTAATATACCAATGTGTAGCATAGGAATAGAAAGGAGCCAATTATATTGACTAATACTACGCTATGCTCATCAGTGAGCAAACCATAGCGAAGCCAGAAAGAAGTTCTAAAATATAAATAATTAATTAAAGCAGTTATTGAGTAATTAGAAATAGCCAATAGTAGTGCATTATTGTATACTAACGATAGAAATCCGCAAACAAATGGTAATCCTGAAGAGTCGCCGGTACTTTTCTTTTGTATGTACTTCCGACAAATAATACTGAAAATGTATACGAGTACAAACTTAGGCGGTTATGTACATTATTTATGAATTATAACAAAAGAAATATGTCTCTTGTAGGTACTTACACTCCAGATAGAAACTGTAAGATCGTACTGATCACCGCTGTTGTCTCCAGTAGTACGTCGTAAGTAGGAACTGGCATTTTATAAAAGTTTCACTTGTGGTACTTCTGTGCGATTATAGAGGCGAATTTTAAACAAATTATATATGTACGTTTTAGTCGCTGTCTTGAAATCAGTCTAAAAGTTTAGTATATATCAAATCGTATTTAGAATACTGCTACGGTTATTCATTTTAAACGTATTGGTAATTTATCTAACTTCAAGTACACTAAACATTCTGAAACAAACCAATCTGTAGCTACGTCAACTGTTTTTATTTTGCTTTTTATTTCATTTTTGACACTGAATGTTTGCTTATCGTCTGTTTTTGTTGTATGTAGCGATGGTACGATAATAGTACCGATTATAAGATATCGATAGCAGTATTGAATATTGAGTTGTATCGAGAATAGCCATCCTTTTTATAAATATGAATTAGGAATTATTTTTTTTTATATATAAAAAAGATTTATAAGAAGCAGGAGCTCGACCGAAAACCGTTTCAGCAGTTACAAAGCGCCAATTATATATGTGCATATACACATAAGGAAATATTGCCAACTTTGCCATAGACGAATATGCCGATATTCGAAGAAAGTATTAGATAGCTAGAACACGGAGATCGCTAACTTTAATCTTAACGGAAACAATTTGTTTCAAGACCTCTGTGTTCTAGCTATCTAAAATTTTCTTCGAAGAGCGTTGTTGTTGTTGTTGTTGTANACCAGCCCTGATCAGAAGGATTTGGAGCAACCCAGCTGCGAGGTGTTGCTCCGTTGACGTACTTAGACTAAGGTTACCTGTAGACCTAAACGGGGTTAGGTCTCCGAAAGGGTGACAGCCCTTGGCCGGATAAAATCCGGGTCAACTCCGGTGCGTAGAACCGGCTGTCGTGAGAGTTGCTTCGAAGAGCGTCATATTCGTTGACGGCAAAACTGGCCATATTTCCACAATTTATACTGATGTTGCATCCTTGATGTTGAAACCATCAACCTGAAAATGTTGGTTAGTACCACTTCACTGGAAGTAAAAAGCTTCGGTGCCTAGAAATTTCTTCTTCTCCTCTTTGGCGGTGACACTTACCCGATTATAGCCGTATCAATTTTAGCACGCCATTCCTCTCTTCTTTTTTCAGTCTGGCGCCAATTGGAAACACTTAGTGAAGTCAAAAAAACGTCTGATGCCACGGTTATGAAGCATAATGTTATATTAAGCAATACCTGCTAGGAGCAGATCTTGTATACATTTACTGGAAACTTAAAGGACTGTATTCAGCAACTTTTACAACTAGCCCGTTTTCCCTCTGGGCCGAACCCCTCAAAACAGTTAGTTTTCTGGACCTTTGGTTAGTTGATCTCGATGACTTATATTAACTAGCCAGTTGAAGAAACACTACAACGACAACAATATCTACTGGAAGCAGAACCTAACCCACCGTACTACATTCAGCACTACATAACAGAACCGCTGAACAGGACGAGTTATCTATAGGCCATATACACCATCATTAACTGTCTTTTCGCTAGAGTTGCCTTGCTATACCTCAGTAATATTGGCAACCAGACTCCACCTCGACATACATACTGAATATCTATATATTTTTTAAGTATGTTCTACATTCAAAAAGCCCCAACACGCTACTAACCACCTCTTTGCATGCTCACTAAAACCCATTCGTCTAACATCACTCTACAATCACATCGCTCAAGTAGAATTTTTATGCATAGCTTTAGCGTATAGGTGGGCCGAAGGTAACATCAACTAACAGAGCGGTGCTAAGCGTTATTTTTTTCTCTCTTTCTTTTTCTCTCTCTCCCTCTCCCTCTCTTTCTCTCTCTATCGCCCTATTTAACGAATTCGAAACAGCTCTACAGCTCCACAGCTCCACAGCTCCACGTGGTAACAAAGCCATTGACAGCGCTGGTACATTTTCAATATGTGTATGCAGTACATACACGTGCGCATATTTCAAAAGAGTATCGGCTGTAGCTGTAGCTGGTACTGTTGACTGCGGCATGACCAGAATATGTTTTTGGCCTCAACTGGCAGTCTGATTGCAGGGTCCCTTACTGCTTGGTCTTGTCGCGGAATAGACTGTATAAACAGAGTTGAACATTTAACAATTTTACGTCTCTGTTGTTGTTAAACTTTGAAAATAAATTGTGTATTTTGGGAACTGCATATCTAACGAAACAGTGTAATAGAAAGACACAAACAACAAATAAATAATTTGTAAACATCGAATTTATGGCGCGTATGAAATTAGTACACCAAAAATACGATAATATTGTGCATTAGATAAACATATGTGTATACATAAATATATTTATATACATACATAACACAACGTAATTTGGCAAATAAATACAAGAATTGTGAAAGTCTCTTTGTATGCTTTGAACATTCACGTTTACGCGTACAAAACAAGCGCTGCTACAGTGTAATAAGCGCCGCTGCCGTGCGTGTATGACTACGAGCGTGGTGTAAGGGGAGGCTAAGTAAAGAGGTGAATTTTCACGCACGTTTTACAACATTTATCTACATACATACAATATAGCCGCTTAAATTTGCCGTGCTTTTGTACGAAATCCACGCAAACTCAACCCGTCATAACAATAACAATAATAATATCAAATAATAAATAGTTAAAAACAAAAAAAAAAACTGAAAAAGACATGGATCTCCAAATGACTGAACAAAACGAGCGTCTCTATCCTCAAGATGGCCAAGGACATAAAGGGAAATTTGTACCAACCCATGGCACCAAAAATTCCCTACAAGATACCACGGAAATACTCAAGGTGAATATGTGTGTCACCTCTTTTATACTCTTACATACATGTGAGCGTTGCTAAAGGTCAAATGCAACAATGTGCACTTTTGTCTGTGAAAGTCCTTATAAGCGCAAATACAAACATATGTACAATATGCTCCAAGTGTACTTAACCGCTAAACAGATTTGTATACATACATACATATGTACTTCTGAGTATGTAAGTAAGTTTAACTCACTGTTGTCTGACGAAAGCATTAAATGCAATTCTTGCATACGCGATACGCATATTTCTGTATTTATATATGTATGTATGTGTGTGCATGTATTTATACTCAAAACAAGAATCGGACGTTGTACCATTTTTAAGCATTTATCTATGTATATATTTTTGTTTGTTTTATTTTTCTTCTTAATATTATCGGTATTTGCTTTCTTTCTACTCATGCTCTGCAATTAACAAACTCTCTCTAAATACTTTTATTAGCAACACTCTTTGTTCTCTTATTAGCATTTAAACATATGTATGTACAAATATACATATGTACAAGATTGCGTCTATAGATTTTCTTATTGTTTGCGCATACGTCATAATTTCGATGCTAATTTGGTGAATTGAATTGAATTTGCTTACATTTCCAAAGAGAAATCATTAAAATAAAAGAGGTTTGGTGCAATTTGGCATAAAATAAATTAAAATTCAGATATTTTTCATTCTTTGTGACTTTAAATCAAACTATAAGATGGATGCATAAAAATCTTTCAAGCAAGTTCTCAAATCTTCTAGCGATTCACTATCGATGTGTGTGAGTTGTCTGGTGTTGTGTCCTGATGAAACTTTTGGGCCTTCAGATGGTTTAATTGCTGACAATACAGAATTAATAGTTTAGCCGTAGCGGAGCAGTTCAATGCACAACTAAGCCTTCCTGACTATCATTCGACCACGACCTTTTTCGTTTGACATTACTGTAAGTGATCCATTTTTCAACACTAGTCGCTTTCCGCTTTATAAATGGATCGATTTTGTTACAATTCAGTAGCGATTTGCAAACGGAAATTCGTGCCGTTAACTGATACACGTATACATACAGCTTCTTTGTGTATCTAGACTTTTTCAAATGGTTCCCAATTGTTTTTTGTGTACTGTTTACTTCCTGGGAAATCGAAACAGTACGCGCATGATGGTCAGATTTCCATTTTTTTTTGTTGACACTTTCGAAAACTAACCCTCTACACTCTCAAAATTACCGGCACGAAATCGATGAAACCGAAATTGTGCAAGTTGTACTGTTACAGTATCAGTTTATGATTCACATTTTCACCTGTCTTGGGTTTTCACCTTTATCGAAGAAGAATTGTAGAATATGGTGTGTTTTTTTATTTGCTGGGGTGTCCATCTTTGATATGGGCTCAAAAACTACTCAGTTAAGTGATCAACACTTATTTCGATATATTTTTTAGTACATTTGGTACTGATCATCTTTCTAACGCCATCTAGTGCAATCCAATTACAGCACTAAAGCCATTTATTGCGAAAATAATGGATTACTAGACACAACAGATATAATATACAAAAAGAGAAGTACCTGGAGAACAATCAATCAAAATCTGAAAGTGTGCAAATACCTGTAAAAAATTAACTTCCAAACCTCTAAAATTTAACTGGGTTGCTGGGTAGAGTAATCGTGCAAATTTACAATTACATCCTATTTTAAGATATATCATTTTTCTTGGCTTCATAATTGTTACTATTTGCCCGCCAAATTTGGATCGGCCGGAAATTTAAATAAAGTAAACTCAGTTTATTTTTCACAATCAAACTCTGCACATTTCATTCTCACACTTTTGTTTTGTTTTTATTTTTTTGTAAATACACACATTAAATGTAAAATGTGAAGCTTTAAAGCATGAATCGTAAGTGTGATGAAAGCAATGCAACAGCTGATTATCAAATTGTATAACAGTGAATAACGATACAACTGAAGACGCAATCTTTATATTTTATTTTATGGTATATATACATACATAACTACTATGTATGAACGTACAAATGTTAGTTTCCTCTGTTTGGTTGATTCCTACTGTTAAGGCTACGGTACAATTTCAGGTACGAATGCTGGTTAAAAAAAGTGTTATTTTTATGCACAGCAGATATGCATACATACTCACATACATATATGTATATGTACCTATCTATTTAAGCTAAAGTTATAAAGGGATGATTAAGTTTCTATTTTTTTTAGACAAATTGATTTCATAAAAAAAGTGAAGAAAAATTAGTGTCGGTTTATTGATTTGCAAAAATTTTCTAATTTTCACAATAGTGTCATTATAATTTTTATTATACTTTATTTATTATATTATATTACATATTGCACATCACACATCACATTATTCCATTACATAAAATGCTGAGTAAGTGCTAGATTAATAAACACCTCTCCCTCTCTCTCTCTCTCTCTTTACGCTCTGAAATTTTACATATGTAAGCACATTTGTAATCTTGTAAGTTTCAGTTTTCCGCCGGCATTATCATTTTAAGTTCATAGATTAATTGTGAAAATGATTTAAGTTCAAAAAGTAGATTTTCGCAAATTTCTGCTCATATGCAAATGTACGGTTATTGAATTCTTGTAAAAAAATACTAAATAATTGTTTGTTTTCTTCGGTATTAAAATTTACCATTTACAGGCCTATTCTCACTGTTACCGGTAAAGTAAATTTTGTTACTTTTCTTTAACACCCGAAATTGAATTTGGTATTCTGGCGAACTGGTCACAATGTTTGAAAAAAATTTTGCAGCACTGCTTTTTTCGTCTATGTCAAATTACATTATAGTTGATATAATAAAAAGACAAATATTCACATCTAAATGGAAAGTTTCATTGATTTGTTTATTAAATCATAATATTTGAACCTAATTATGGAAAAAATATGCCTGGCCAAAAAAAGCTGAATGAACACGTTATCATAACAATTAAAGGGATATTTTTTAGACTCGAAAACTTCTTAAAATACGGCTTTTTGCACATTTTTCTTCATCTTCAATAAATTCCAGGCCTAAAATATGCCAACCCATTTTGGTTTTTTATTTTCTCTCAAACTTACAACATAAAATCAAACAGCAGATATTTTTGTTACCTCCTATTTCGCTGGTAACAAAATTTACAGGGTGACAGTGAACTCAGAATACGAAATAGTAACAAAATTTACTGAATGGTATATTTTAGTACCAAAGTAAATTTTATTACCTCGACAGAATAGGCCTGTTAATCACAATTTTACTTACTCAATACCTGTGGGTAAGGAATTTATGTCAATTATAGAAATGTTCTTCAGCACCTCGGTTACGGCTGCTTGAATGGTTGGGATATCATCATAAAATGCTCCCTTCATCTTGGTTTTCAGTTTTGGAAATAAAAAATAGTCGCATGGTGAGAGATCAGGCGAATACGGAGGATGGTCGATGAGAGAAATCTCTTTTTTCATTAAAAATTCGAGCGATTTTTTTAGGGTCGTCATTTAAATCCTCACGACCATTTTTGAATCGTGTAAACTACGTATAAGCTTGCGCACGACTCATACAATCATCACAATAAATTTTTTTCTTTAATTTTTTTTTCAAGTTTGACTCAAATTTTTATATTTGCTCTTTGCTCCATTTTATTTTTGAACCATTAGCACACTTTTGGTTTTATTGAAATGGCTGTCACTTTTACATCTGTCATCCGACTTAAATGATGTTGGGTGCCTTTGAAAGAGGATGAATTTATCTTTTTAATGTTGCAAATTTTCAATAGATGGCGCTGTATGTTGTATGATTTAAATATAAAGTTCGCTCATTTTTTGGACACACCGAGTACATAGCAATTTGTATCGAAATGTAGACCACATATTTTCATATATTGTCCATGAGCTTTGTTGAAAGTGATCGCAAACGTTAGTCGAAAAGGGAACTGTAGGAATTCGAGGATTGAGGACGCCTTCATCTTTGAAAGGCTCGGTCAGAATTTTTGATTCTATTATGTTCATCTGTAATTTTTTAACCGGAAGTTGTGTGCCGTTGCAGACTTTTGGCTAATTAAAATTATGTTGTATTATAATGACAATTTTCCGATTTTCAAATTAGAAACGGGACCACGCCTAAGACCAAGAATTCAAGCATTCTGTTGGATATATGACTCTCCTATCTGCTGTCACAACCGTGTCTATTGAATTATAATGTGACGCTGAATTAGCTTTCGGACTGAATAGTATGGTTGAGATCGTAGAGGTCTTAGTTTGTTGCTGAGAGCATGGTTCGCTCACTCAGTTATTCAGCTACCCAGAATGTCTATAAGTCAACAATTAATTTTTATTTTGGATGTCACTAATATACCGAAGTTATCGGATAAAGTAATCCGTACGGAAGTCCAATCAATTCGCATTACGCCATTCCCCATTTCCAGTTACTAGTGTGAAAATGCATCGGCCAATGGATTATTTTGCAGATTGGCACGCATATTTGGTGGTTAATTGCTGCGTTTGTACGTGTCACCACAACGTATGAGCATTTCTGCCTAACATTGATCTCGTCCGCTGGTGTTGATCGAGGAATGAGAGGCAGTGTTGTTGAGTAAAAATTTCGGTCGGTCAGTAACTTTTGGAGCTATGGAGATCTTTACAAACGAATGCATGATTTATATATGTACATAACTACTCATTTGCTTGTGTGGATCACTTATTCACTACTCAAAATATTCTACGAAATATCGATATGGATGTCCCTAGGTAAGTCAAACGCACCATTCGGAAACAGTCGCAAAATAATAAAAATGCGTAACGAATATACCTCACCAGGATCTGTGCTGATATCCAAATCTAACAAATTTTTCTCAACTTGCCGGTTATCGTTTTATCGTAAAGAAAAGATTTATTTATATTTCGAACAAATCGAATTTCCAGAAATTTAACTAAAACGAACAATGAATATGTTTACTTAAAAAAATGATTCACATTCCGTAGACAAAGTCTTTAAGAAAAAGTAAC